AGGAGGAAGGGGGGAGAAATGTATCCCTTCCACTTAAGAACCCTTCGTAAAGGTGTCCCTGCCATACACTTCTGTTTATATCCTGTTGGCCAGAACTTAGTCACGTGGAAGAGCCAGCTAGCTGCCTAAGAGGCTGGGTAATACCGACTTTATTTGGGGGGAACCACAGAAAGCTAAGCATCCGTTTATCTGCTGTGGCAGACGGGGAAAGTGGGTATCGGGAAGCACGAACAGCCACAATAAAACCACCCACTGACCAAATGAGAGCGCCGGACTGGTGGGCCAGCATTTCTTCCCCTCTCTCCTACTCCGGTAGCAGGAGAGAAAATCAGCGGATTCACTGTGCTCGCAGGTGAGCCGTGACCTCAGGTGACATCTCACCTCAGCCAGGCGTGGCTGGTGCACGCCCAGGAGGTCAGCACCGTTCTGTGTTTACAGACCAGCACGGCAGGGGGGACAGGCAGCCAGGCTGCGCTCTGAGCCCCGGCGCGGGAGTTTCCCCAGGGCTCGTCTGCGGACAGCGAGGCCACTTCAGTGTGACACGTGGGCTGCAAAGACAGCTCAGTGAGCCCTTTTTAGTTCCCAGGCACTGTAAAACCTGGGGCTCGGGTGGTGGTGAGGGTGGGCCACCCAGCCCCGGCAGTGCCGCACACCCACGTGAGCGACACCCTCCCTCCTCGGCCGCGTGAGGCCCATGCTGCATTTTAATTGCTGCTGATGGGAGGTGGGGCGCAGTCCCAACCTCTGCGTTGGGGGCCTGGGCGTCTCGGGGGTGGGGGCGGCCGGCAGTGCTCCCCTCCCCGGCGCAAGCTCTCGGTCAAGGCGGTTCTTGCTTCATCGCCCAGGGTGAAAGAGCAGGGCAAGCCTGGGCTGCGTGCGGGGCTCGGTGCATCCCCCTGAAACTCGTATGTTGAAGTCCTGCCCCCAGTTTCTCGGCAGGGGACCCTGTATTTGGAGACAGGGCCTTTAAATAGGCGATTAGGGGGAAATAAAGTCCCGTGGGTGGGCCCTCATCCAGCATGACTGGCGTCCTGATAAGAAGAGAAGATCGGGACGCAGACATGCAGGGGACACAGGGAGAAAGAAGGCGGCCGCAGGGGAAACCAGCCCTGCCAGCACCTTGATCTTGGACTTCCAGCTTACAGCACTGGGAAAAAATTAATTTCTGTTGTGTAAGCCACCCCAGCGGCCCCAGCAAACTAGTGCAGCTCTTCATCTCTCTCTCCCTCTCTGTCTGGCTGCCCCATTTTAACCTAAATTCCAGTTTTATGATTAAACATCCCATCATCGGTTATTTAAAACACGTGCAGATGAGTATCAGGGTTGCAGGGGAACGAGTGACTCACACAGGGGAAGTTGGTTTTTATGAAGGCAAAGTGACACTAAGGAAAACAAAGAATTTTACCTCCTGGCCACAGAGAATGAAATCGACCTAGGTAAGGGTGTCTGGCAGCCAGGGCACGGGGCAGGGCACGGGGCAGGGGCCCTTCATGCCCAGCGCCATGACTGGGAGGCCCTGGGCGGCGGGGTCAGCCCTGCGCTGACTCTGGGGTCAGACACGTCTGTGTCCCTCTTTGCTGTGCCGTTCACTGTGTGACTCTGAGCAAGTTGCTTAACTTCTCTGAACTTCAAGCTCCTCATCTCCGAAATGGAGAGCTATTCTAGAGACTTTGTCATAGAGTTCTTGGGACATTTAAACATGATAATAAATAATAACTAATACATTAGAATATGATTATATTGAAGACATAATAATAAATTGCTAAATAAAATCAAATATATAATGAGCAAGTATAAAATATTTTACAAATAAAAACTAAAATGAAATAGAACAAATAAAATTAATAGTAATAATAAGAAATAATAATAAATGCACGTAAAGCACCCGGGACAGTGTCTGGTACTTGATAAACAGGCAAATGTTCACTCTTATGGCTACAATTCCAAAGTGTCACAGTGGGAGAAAGAATCAGGTGTGACAAGTGACCTCCTAAAAAATAGAGGCAGGAAGGAGAGCAGGGGCTCTGGCTAAAATGCTTCAAGTACAAAACGCAGGTCCAAAGTGAAGCAGGGGTGAGGAGAGAAGGGGGTGCGGAGAGGGGGCTGGGCAGCCAGCTCAGTATCCAAAAGAGCTCTTAGCAGGTTTGGGAACCACGTCTATAGAGACGCCCTTGCTGTGGCTAAAAAAGAAAATGCCCAGATATGGGCAGGACGAACTTTCTCAAACCGAGCCCTAATCTCCAGCATCAGGCCGGTCTAATAAAAGCCTGGGAACAGAGAGGGCTTGCTTGTGCGGGACCCATCAGCCCGCGAGGGCTGTCCGCCTCCCCCGTGTACCTCTCCTTTGGGTTAAAAAGCCCTCATAAATCAACTTCAGCCTGTCTTGCCATGAGGACTTTGGAACTGTAGTTCTGAGCGCCCAGGAAGGTGGCGTGCCTGCTGACTCGAGCACGAGAATGTCTCCATCACGGTTGTTTTGTCACAGCAGAGTTACAACAAGTGCAGACTTGGCTCATCTGCAGAGTCCCGGGTTAAAATGCAAACCTGGGAGAGGAAGGCCAGGTCTCCAAGCCTCCCTCCAGCCCGGCCACAAGAGGAACGGGCGCAAAATCACCAAGAGATTGGTTTGCTCGGCATTCGGGAGCCAGGCGCAGTCACACCGGCTCCCGGGTAAGCAGTCTGTGTACCGGCAGGTGACGTAGCCAGGTGTGACCGGGAGTGTTGCCCGTGGGAGTTTCCTGGGCCTGCTGTAACAGTTGACCCCAAACCTGGGGGCTGAAAACAACGCAGATTTGTTCGCTTGCAGTTCTGGAGGTCAGAAGTCCAAAGCCAGTTTTACGGGCTGACGTCAAGGTATCAGCAGGGCTGGTCCCTTTTGGCTTTTGGGGGTGCCACTTCCTCACGTCCCTCCAACTGCTCTTCCATGAGCACAGCCCTCCTGTGACCTTTCTGCTCCCTCTTGTTAAGGGCAATTGCAATTATTAAATTGGACCCACCTGGATAATCCGGGGTGATCTCCCCATCACAAGATCCTTAACTTAATCACATCACAAAAGGCACTTTTCTGCCATATAAGGTAACAGTCACAAGGGCCAGGGATTAGGACCTGGAGATCTTTGAGGACCGTGACTCAGCCTACCTCATGCCTGCTCCCAAACTCCAAGAAACAGGGCAGCACGTGGCAAGACGCCCGGAGCTGGGCCCCGGGTTCCCGTCTGCCCCTGACTTGAACAGCCCTGAGCTAGTCCCGGGCCCCTCCCGGGCCTCTGTAAGGACGGATGGGTGCTCACCGGCCTCCGCAGGCCTGATTCCGGTGATCGGCACACTCTGCCAGGCACAGGGCAAGGCCCTCAGCCTAGTAACTCACTGATCGTTCGGCTTTGTGGCCCCTGAAAACCACCACGCAGGCTCCTACCTCGGGGCCTTTGTCCTGCGGTTCCTTCCGCCTGGAATGTTCTTCCCTAGAGTCCATATGAGTCCCTCCCTCCCGTCCTTCAAATATTTGCTCAAATATCACTTTCTTGGTGACTTGTGTTCCCGACCACCAAGTTCAAGGTCATTGCCCCCAGCTTCACTGTTTCCTTCTAGCACGTATCAGTTTCTGCCCTTCCACAGAATTTACTCTGACAGGTGGGTGATCTGTGAGCTCTTTGGGGACGCGGCCTCTGTCTGTTTCAATGGTTTCTCTGTCCCCAGCACTTAGAGCAGGACTTGGTGTGTGGTAGGTGCTCAGTTAATATGTGATTGAATAAATGAATAAATATCTTTAACTCAAAACTCTTGAGCATATAACTTAGAACACCCAGTGAGGCAGATTCCAGCCTAATTCCCTTTTTACAGATGAGAGAACTGAGCCTGGGTGAGGTGAGAACTATCTTATCTGGATAATTCTCAAGTAACAGAGCGCGGATGCAGACCTGGCCCCTGGGCGGGAGCTCGCCCCACTGCATGGGCTGGCGTGGCGCCCCTTCAGCCCCTGATTTTTGATACGTTCTCATCCCTGCCCGTCTCTGCTTTCTTGCCACAATATGCCTCTTGGGCAGGGGAAACCGAATGAATCCAGCCGGTGTCCAAAACTGCCTGCTGTGCGAGGACAAATGCGATGTCCAGATGGCAGCTAGGTTCCCAGGAGCCTGGCGTGCAGCCAGCGACACTGACCAGAAGCAGCGACCAGGGCAGACGCGGCCTCTCCCCTCTCCTTCCAGCTCCCAGACCCCAGGGCTGAGCCTCAGAAGTCGTCTGCCCAGCTCCTAGGGACAGGAATTCTGCCCTGCCAGGGTTGAGTTACTCAAGGTTGGCTAGAAGGCTGGCTTTCTGCTGCCCTGTGGGTGGGGACAGCCTAAACAAGGGAGGCTTTGTGGCCAGGGCCGCCACTTTCGCAGCTGAGACTCTGGGCAGGCTTCTCAACCTCTCTGTGCCCCAGTGTATCCTTGATAAAATCTACAAAGGCAGGGGTAACGGCACCTCCCTTATAGGATTGTTGGGAGAAGTAAATGAGCTCAGTTGTGCAAAGCACCTAGTGTGTGCCCTGACTGTGTGCCGGGGCCCGGGCTGGCGGGTGGTCAGCGCCTATGCTCGGCCTTGTTTGCCGGAGGTGGGGTGGGGGTGGGGCTCCATCCCCAGAGACACGATGGCCGGGGCCTGGAGAAGGTTCCAGATGTCAGACTCACGTTGGGCTGACGGTGACAGGAATCTGGCTGCTGCTCTGTGTCCCCGAGTGCTGTCCTGGCAGAGGAAGGCACCGAGATGTCACATTTCCTAAGAAATAGCGGATGTGAGTGGGTCCCTGGTGCCAGCCTTCCAAATAAGGCCGCATGCCAGCCACCTGCTTAGAGAAAGACACTATGTCTCGAGCTCCTCGAGACAGGATGTGTGGTTTATTAACTTGCTCCTTCTGTTTACGGCCCCTGATTCTTCAGAATCAATTGTCCTCCTTAATTTCACCAGCACTGAAATGGATTAGCAAGGAGCCTGGTGGTGTTAGGTCTTACAAAACTCACCGACATCTTGCTTTTGGAGCAGGGGAGGGAAGCTGCCTCTTTTCTCTGCAAGCCGCGGTATGTTCTGGAAGTTGCCCACTTTTCCATCTCTGCGGGATTCCTCAGGCTGAACCCACTCCCTGGAACACCCTGATCTCCTCCTACCCCCAGACTGCACCCATAGGCAGTTGACATACACAGCGAGGCCCCGCAGAGCTGCACACGTGTCGTCCCGCTCCCCACACTCCTCAGACTGAATCTGTCACTCATTTGTAGGCTCTTTGTACCTGCCCCGTTTTAGCAGCACTACTCTATGTTTGAAAGCATAGCTTTGAGAGCCAGACATACCTTACTCCTGCCTCGTACTAGCTGTGTGACCTTGGATAAGTTAATTCACCTCCCTGAACCTCTTTATAGATAAGTAGCCTCATCTAGGAACTAGAACTAATAACTATTAAAGGGTTATGCATGGAAAGAGCAGCACGGAGTCTACACGTTAAGCACGTTTGCTCTTTCTCTGATGTTGAGTTGACTTCCCTGCCATTCAGAAGAACCACCCGTCTTCCGGCTGGATCGTGTCATAAAAGTCTGTGTGTCCCCAAAGCCCCTGGCACGCAGTAGGAGCCCAGGAAGTGTCGGAATCAGAATCTTCAAAAAAGCCACTTTAAAAGAAGCACTCTCCTATTTCTGCAGAACCTGCAGGCCTCGCCCGGGGAGTGGCCCCCAGGGACTCAGCCAGCACGGCCGTGCAAGGCACAGAGGGTGGACTTCAGAGTTGGCTGGATTTGATTGTCAGCCCCACCTGCCACCGAGCAGCTGCGTGCCCTGGGCCGCATCACTTACTTACCCTGTCTGAGACTCAGAGATAGGGGCAGCTGGCCATTGCTCGAAGGGCTAGTGTGAGGATGCAGCGAGCTTAGAAAGGGGCCTGATTGGAGCTGAGCGTCAGCTGCCACCGCGGGGACTGCTGTTTCCGTCACCGTCACCGGTGCTGTGATGGCCCTGCCTCACAGATTACTTAACGCCCTTTCTTTTCTTTCCCGGCAGCCCTCCTTCCCCCTCCTCTCCCTTATGTCTCACTTGCACGTTGCTTTTTGTTTCTCCCAAGCCCACACTCTGAAAGATCCCTGGCTGCTTGGTTGAAACAGGAACCTGACACCCTTTGACCTTGGTCCGTGGGGAGGTGGCCTGCAGCTCCCTCCCAGGCGGGACAGGGGCAGCTGAGCGGTGGCTCAGAGCCTTTCCTCCCACCCCCCACCGCATGGGACTGGAACTTGGTGACAAAAGTGATTGTGGGCTGAAACTTGGCCCAGAGAGCCCCACTGAATTCTTCCTTTGTGGTGTGAATGTAGCACAGGCTGGTTCCTTGCACGCTGAGCAGGGCACCCCTCTCCCAGTTACGCAGCTTGACTGGAGGAGCTCGGTGCAGGGAGAATGGTCAAGGAGCCTCTTTGTCGTGGGGGCTGGTCGCACTGCCAGACCCCTCCCATCGGCAAGACCTCCTTCCACTGGCCGGGCGCCTCTGCAACCGTCCCTCCCCGGGCTGCAGCACGGGCCTCAGCGGCCACAGCGGGTCTAGATGAGAGCCCCCGTTTCCAAACTGTTCCGCAGAGTTTCTGATTCAACAGGAAGAGGTGAGGGAAGCCTCGGCCATCAGTGCCGGGGCCCTTGGCCCCGTTTCAGCCAGAGCAGCTCTGCTTGCAATTGTTTTCCATTTCATTTCAGTCATGTGTTTACATTCAAGTTCATGGAGACTCAGTACAAGTGGGGACTAGCAGCGATGACCCCACTCGGGTCTCAGCCAGGTGGAACGTTCTGATGTCCGGAGCGGGGACTGTGTCCCGCCGGGCACAGCCCCTCCCTGCTGGCTCTGCTGGGGCAAGGACATGCTTGCCGGTGAAGACAGCCCCTGCCCGGGCTGGAGGGGTGAGGCTCAGGCTCCCCGGCTCACTTCTGCCTGGGAAGGCCAAGGATCCACTGGAACCTCAGACCCACCAGGGAATACTCACACCCACCTTCCCGGGTCACGATGGAAATCACATTTATTCTGGGCGCCTTTCCCGTGTCACCAGCAAATCATTTGCATACGGATACGAGATTTGGACACCTGGCAGTTAGCTCTCACCAATCTTCCCTCCGGTGCCAACCTCGGACTCGGAATTCCCCCTCGTTGATATGAGACACTCTTTTCAGCTTTCCAGTTTGCCAGATACTCATTTGTTGATTCCATAAGTATTTATTAAGTACCTGTTAAGTTCCTGGCACGCTGCGCTGGGCACGGGGCATACAGAAGTGAGCAAGGCAGGCAAGAACCCTCTTGCAGAGAGTCGAGCCTCCAGTGGGGCAGTCAGGGAGCCGACAAGAAAACAAAAATGAGATTACCGTGGACTGTGATGTAGGCAACTAAGCAGGGGGCTCAAGAGAGAAACTGAGGGAGGGAGAGGGCATTGTACCCAGGGTGGCCAGAGAACTTGCTGGGGAGGTGGCGTTTGAGCAGAGAGACAGAGGTACTAAAGAATTAGCTGAACAAAAGAGATAGGTGGAAGAGGGTTTTCAAGGAAGAGGAACAGCAAGTGCAAAGGCCCTGTGGCAGGAAGTGCTCGGCACAAGCCGCTGTGGGTAAGCCAGGAGGTAAGCGACGAGAGACAGGAGCCCAATCCAGTCTGGCAGGGTTTGAAGGCCGTGGCAAAGGAGATTGAGTTTCATGCTAAGAGCAATAACAGAGATATTAATGGGCTTTTGCAAATTCTAATTACAAAATATTTCAGCCAATCAAAAGAGTCCGTATAAGGCTGGGCTTGGTGTCTCACACCTGTAATCTTAGCACTCGGGAGGGCCAGGTGGGCCGAGGTGGGCCAGGTCAGGAGTTTGAAACCAGCCTGAGCAAGAGTGAGATCCCATCTCTACTAAAATAGAAAGAAATTAATTGGCCAACTAAAAATATACAGAAAAAATTAGCCGGGCATGGTGGCGCATGCCTGTAGCCCCAGCTACTCAAGGGCTGAGGCAGAAGGATCGCTTGAGCCCAGGAGTTTGAGGTTGCTGTGAGCTAGGCTGACGCCATGGCACTCTAGCCAGGGCAACAGAGTGTGTCTCAAAAAAAAAAGAGTCTATATAAGATATATGTGAATTTTAGGAATAGTATAAGTAAACACTCATGCACCCCTCACTGTTCCCCTTCCCAGTACCATTCCTCATTTCCCTGGGAGGTAGCTATTTTCCCGAATTTTAGTGGCTAATCTTTGCATTTCTCCCTAATTATTACAAAAATAGAGCAACATATATTGTTTGGTTTGGGACTTCATTTCGATGGGCTCATGCTGTGCGTGTCCTCCTGCTGTGTAGTACTCCTAGGGTGACACTGTCGTGGCTTATCCTTTCTTCTGGGATATGACGCCAACTGACTTTCTAATGTTGAACCAACCCTGCATTCTTGGGACAGTGTCAACTTGACTGTGATGTATTATCTTTTTTTTAAAAAAGAAACATTGTTGGGTTCCATGTGCTGATATTTTGTTTAGGGTGTTTGCTTCTGGGCTAGTGCATCAGACTGGCCTGTCGTTATTCTTTCTTGCCTTGTCCTTTTGTGGTTTGGGCTTCAGGGTTCTACATCCCCATTAAATGATCTGGGAGTGCCTCCTCTTGTGTCTGAGATGGATGAAACCATAGGAGAGTTTGATAAATGTTAGCTGCCATATTGTCATCCTTCTGCAACCCACATATTTTTGTACAGAATTTTAGCTTCTTGTGGTGCCATTTGTCTTGCACATATACCTACCCAACTCCCACCCTTTCCTGCCAAAATATAAACAAAACACATGCCTCCCCCATGTGTAGCTCAAATTGAAATGCTCACAGCTCGCTTAGAAGGGTGCATGTCTGTGGTTTTTCATAGGTAGGTTCTCAATTCAAGATTTTAGCATGAAAAGTTGTTTTCAGGCCTCCCCTGGGTCTCCCCAGGTAACAACAAGTCGGCACCTTTGTAACCAGTTAACAGTCTTTCCTAAAAACCCAGAAATAGGGTCACTCGCTTCTCCTTTAGGGCCTCCTCGAACATGGGCAGTGATGGGTGCAACCCTGGGGTCTAGAGGTGAGTTTGGCCAAGCTGGGGCCCAGGCTGCCCATCGAGGCCGTTTTAGGGACATGTTGGAAGCTATGTGGTCCAAATCCTCTACGCACAAAATTAGCTTCTTTCCATATTTTTGGAAGGGAAAGAACACAGTGCTAAATATAACGTGGGTGCCGTCCAGGGTCAACAAGCCAGAAGCAGGCTCCACAGCTGGCTGGCGGCGCTGCGGGGAGCTGGGTTTCCACAGACCCCGTGAGCCCACCAGGATCCCGGGCTCCAGACAGGATCCGACGAGCACATTCCAGCTACCACTGGACACGCAACCCTGCCGTGAACCCAGAAAGCAAAAACCTTTATTGTATGAAAGCAGCACATGGACATTTCTGTGTTCTCATTCTTACTCTCCCAGTAAGAAAATCAAAATCACCATTAATCCCACCACACAGAGAAAAATAACTGTAAGCATCAGGGTATTTGTAATTGGAGTGATTTGAAACTTAATGTGATACATTAAATAGTGTTTCTCACCCTTTTCCCCCATCTCACCCCACTAAGGAGTCATTACAGACATTGTTTTCAGAATACACTCTGCCTCCATGAAATTGTCATGCCAAAGATACACTGTGTCCCTGCGTATAGAGCCATAGACCATGGTAATATCCAAGATTTTTTTCCTCCCCATCCCCAAGAATCACTATTTGCCCGCTTGTGGGTGACCTTTTCCCATTGAGAATACGGGGTTTGCATAATATCAAATAACAAACTTTTCTGTCGGTAAGAATTTTACCGTGTGCTGGTCACATACTGTTCTAGGTGCTTTATGTAAATTTCCTGGCTTACTTATCACAACTCACTTATAAGGTGGATATTGGAGAATTTTTGTCTCCATTTTATAGTTGTGGAAACTGAGGCACAGAGAGATAAAGTAACTCAAGGTCACACGGCCAGGCAGGAACAGAGTGAGGACCTAAGCCCAGGCAGCCTGGTCCCAGGTTCACTCCCAGTCACTCAGCTGTGCTGTCTTGCAGTAATACATTCTGATCGTGAAAGTGCAAAACAGAGAAGGAGAGAGAGTAACGGGTACACTTGCAAAGCTTCCTTCATCCCCAGAAGCCATCCTGGGCATCAGTTTGGAATATGACCTCCCCTGGGATTTCTACATGCGTGTGTGTATATATAAAAATATATTGTCTCTTTTTTATTTTAACATAAATATGATCATCAGACTTTTTTCCTATATACATCTGTGTATAGAGAATTTTTTTGAAAATTAGAATCACACTGAACATGCGGTTGTTTTAACCTTGTTTGACTTTAAAACGTATCATTCCTTAGCTGGTCGGAGACCATAATTTAGTAAGTGGGTGCACCATAGTTTATTTAACCAGATTTGGATTATTGCCTATTGAAGTAGTTTCTAGCCTTTTCACTGCTATAAAGCCATGATGAATATCTTTATACATAATTCTTAGAAGTTGGAATTACAGAGCTGAAGGGTATAAACAGTTTTGAAACTTTTCGTTCATAAATGCCAAAATTTGCCATCTGAAAAAAATTGTATGAAATTGCCTATCCCAACACCATAACCCACACCAGGGATTATCTCGTGTTTTTAATCATTATCAGGCCAAAAAAGGTATTGATCCTGATGTTTTTATCTCTGCCTGTGACTCTCATCTGGGGCCTGCCTTTCCCACGTGCGGTGGACGGCAAAGCTTGAGCTGAGACGAATCAGAGCAGGCAGGGAGGGGGTTCAAGTGCCCAAACCACCGGCCTGGGAAACACGCCCTCAGGGTAGCAGGGACAAGGCCTGCCTGTCGGGCACTAAACAGGTGCCCGGGACGTGCATTTTTCATCACTCCTGCTTCCAGGAGGGATGAAAAATGTGCACATCCCTCCCCTCCAAGTCTGAGCTTGTCTCAGATCCGTTTGGTGGAACCGATGCATTCCTAAGTCCCTCCTTGGCTGACCATGAGTGACACTGTGAGGCACAAATACCCTGTGTATGGTACTATTCCCAACTGGTCCTACCACAGCTATTTGCAGTGGGATCCCTATTCCGTGCCCTGCACACCACATGCATGCATGCACGCACATACATGTTCACAGCCCCATTCACATGCATGCACATATGTGCTAGTGTGTATGCACATGTGTGCATAAACATGAATGTGCATGCATGCACATGCCCCCGTACACATGCATGCAGACGTGCATATGTACACACACATGCACATGCAGTGCTGTGCATTTCTGAGTGCAAGTCCAATTATGCCAGTGGACTCCTCTCCCAGGCTTTTGTATGCCCTCCAGCCCCGAGTTAGAACACCCTGCTGTCTAATCCTGCAATTCCTGTTACTGTCTTCCCACTTTATCATTACTCCTTATGGATTGTTATCTTGCTGTCCCGGAAGGCCCACTAATCCTTAACTTGCTCACCCGTGTTTCTCCAGAGCCTGGCAGGCCGCTTAGCAGGTAGTTAGATGCACAAGAAATATTTGTTGAGTGAAAAAAAGAAGGAACAGGCTTCAAACTGATAAAGGATGTTGTCCCAAATATTTTTAGAGTATCTTTTAACAAAGTGGCCAGTTTCAGATTAAGCCCAAGGTTTGACAAGAAAATATCTCTGCAGCATCAGATTTCAAGCAGCCCGGTTAGCCGTCCTTTTAGAAGGATCGGAAAGAATGCAGAATTGAAAACAGGACCTTGCCCATCTAAACATCTATAAAGTCTTACTGTTTTGCAAAAGTTCCTGTCACAGGAATAACTTACTGGGCAGTGGTTTAGCAAGGGGCATGGCTTATTCCTCCTCCTTGCTCCCTGGAAATTTCTAACCTAAACCCTTCAGGTGACTTTCTTCTCTGGCCCCCTCTCGACTAAGTGGTTATAGAATCCCAGGAGCTCCTCCCCTGGCAAGAGGGTCTTGGTCCAGCTGAGCACAGGAGCGAAGAGGAAAAATGTGCAGGCGCTGCCCCCTTCAAGAAAAGGAAAAGTCGATGTGGCTGAAGAGCAGCTTGTCTTGCTGAGTGGCTTCAGTTGGCCTGTTTCATTTCCTTCGGTGTCGATTCCGCAATTTTTGAGTCCCTGCTATGTGCCAGGCACAGAGATGATGAACATGTGGTCACGGAAGAGAGAGGCTTGTCACCGTAGTTATTGGGGCCCTTTGGAAGCACGTGGAAGGGGCGCGTCTGAGCTGGGGTGGTCCGGGAACTGCGGAAATTCTGCAGGGGCGTGTGGAGAAGGGCAGGGGGAGGTGGAGAGGGAGAGGCAGGGTCCAGGGAAAGGCAGCAGCCTGAGCATCAGCCTAAGGGCTGGACTTTCTCCTTCGGGAAATGGGGTGCCATTGAGGGTGGCGACCAGATCACCGTGGGCTGTTCGGACTGGGTGGGACATACCACTGGCTGATGGCGCGTCCCCAGGCAGGTCTGCCACTACTGTCAATTGTGGCTCTTTCACCCGTCACTCACTCTTCTTCTTGTCTGCACTGAAAGCTGAGACGTGACTGCGCTTCATTAAATTCCACAAAGTGTTTTAACGGCCTGAGCTCCGACCTCTCCAGCCTCCTGCAGGGAAAGGTCTGGCTCTTCCTTTTGGGGGGCGGGGAAGGGGGTGGGCGGGCCGGGCTCACGCACGGAGCCGCACCAAGACATCTGGAACACATCAGACGCGAGGCCGGGCCAGAGCCAGGGCTGCCGCTGCTTAACTCCTGGAAGAGCCGGGCCACCCGCTCCCCGGAGCATCTTAAATCCGAACTGACTTTTCTTTCTGCTCTTTCTGCTTTCAGACCTCCCAGCCGCCGCCGTCCGCCCAGGATGCCTCACGCTGGCCCGGGACCCTCCCTCGCCAGGCCGGCCGTGGTGTTCTTAGTGTGGCGCTAGAGATTCTGTCGCGTGCGTTGAAGGGGTTTCTGCTGCTGCTGTTGCTTTTCATTTATTTACTTCCCTTCTCCGGACGGGGCCGTGCCCGCCTCCCGCTGCCATGATGGCCCAGTCGAAGGCCAACGGCTCGCACTACGCGCTGACCGCCATCGGCCTGGGGATGCTGGTCCTGGGCGTCATCATGGCCATGTGGAACCTGGTCCCCGGGTTCAGCGGCGCGGAAAAGCCGGCCGCTCAGGGCAACAAGACCGACGTCGGCAGCGGCATCCTCAAGAGCAAGACCTTCTCCGTGGCCTACGTGCTGGTGGGGGCGGGGGTCATGCTGCTGCTGCTGTCCATCTGCCTGAGCATCCGGGACAAGAGGAAGCAGCGGCGAGGCGAGGAGATGGTGCACGGCCCCCAGCCGCCGGGCGCCGGGCCGCACCCCCAGGAGGAGGACAGGTGAGCACCGGCGGGCCACCTCCCGCCCCAGCACACACTCACACCCTTTGACGGTGAAAAGGTTTTAGTCTGCAAAGCTTTACCTTCCCATTTTTTTCCCCATTAAGACTCCATAAACAGTTTGTCATTTTACAAATAACTTTATACTTCTCCAACCAGTTTCCCGAATAATGAGGTACGAATTGGTCCCAGGTGTACTAAGACTTTGACACCCACGAAGAAACTGAACAGGGTCTGGGGTGGCCAGAGCCTCCACGCTGGATGCTTGGCCGTTCACCCCCGTGTGCTGTGTGAGCTTTGATTGGGAAAGGTTGCAAAGCAGTATTCTAGTTGACCAAAAATGCCTCAAACAACTTTAAAAGATAAGTGATAAATTGGGGACCATGTGGTAAAGGTTGATATCCTTATTATAAAAAGAGCCTTTCCAGATGAATATGAAAGATGAAGGCTGGGCACAGTGGCTCACACCTATAATCCTAGTACTTTGGGAGGCCAAGGCAGGAGGATCGCTTGAGACTGGGAGTTCAAGACCAGCCGGAGACCCCCATCTCTACAAAAAATACAAATATTAGCTGGGTGTAGTGGCTTATGCCTTGTAATCCTAACTACTTGGGAGGCTGAGGCAGGAGCATCACTTGAGCCCAGGAGTTTGAAGTTGCAGTGAGTTATGATGATGCCACACCACTCTAGCTTGGGCAACAGAGCAAGACTCTTCTCAAAAGAAACAGATGAACATACCATTAGGAAAATGGACAAAGGTTAGGAATGAGCAGTTTATAGCTGTTCAACCAGTAGATGGTCAATCTCATTAGTCATGAAATTTAAATAAAATTATTATTATTATTTGCCTACCATATTCACCAAGACAGCTCGTGATATTGAAGAGTTGTAGGGAAGATGGGTTGCTGATGGAGCGTGACTGACATAACCTTTCTGAAGAGTTTCACAATAAGGGGTAGAATTGAAGATGTGTGCATTGAGTCTATTCCTAAGAGTCTGTCCTAGGGAGACAGTCACACAAGTGCAAAGGAGTTTGCACCAGTATGTTTATCAGATCATTTTAGATACTTTTAGAATAGGAAAAACTTAGAAACAACCTATTTATCCATCCATCAAGTAAAATGATGACATATCCATCCCATGGAGTCCTACGCAGCCATTGTTGAAATATACTTGTCAATGTGGGACCATATCCACAAAATTGACAAAAGGAGGTTATAACACAGCATTTTTGGTAAAGTTATAATCGCATCAGATGCCATGGCTGTAGGATGAGAGAGGGATTGGAAAGGTATACACCAGAATGCCACCAGTGTAATCCCAGGTGGAAGGATTTGGGATGTTTTTGTTTTCTTCATTAGGTTTTTCTGTGTTGTTTGAATTTTCTACAAGCATTTCTTATCTTAAGCAGGAGGAGAGTTGTTTTTATTTTGAAAAAAATTAAACTCATTTTCTGATAATAAAAGATAATACATGCCCTATTAGGGCTTTCCGGAGAAACAGAACCAGTGGGGTAATATATTTAAAAGGAGATTTATCATGAGGAATTGGCTCATAGGATTATGGAAACGGAAGAGTCCCATGATCTGCCGTCTGCAGACTGGAGACCCAGGAAAGCGAGTGGTGTGATTGGTCCAAGTCCAAGGGCTCCACTGAGAACCAGGGCGGGCCATGGTATAAATCCCCATCTGAGGGCAGGAGAAGACGAGATGGGACGTCCCAGCTCAAGCAGGGAGGCAAGAAAAAAGGGTCTAGTTCATGCGTCCTCAAACTACGGCCGCGGGCCACATGCCGCCCGCCTGGGACATTTATCCAGCCCACTGCCTGTCCTGCTTAGCAGCTGACTCGTCCCGGGCCCACAGTGCACACTCTCCAACGGTCTGAGGGACAGTGAACTGGCCCCCTGTTTAAAAAGTTTGAGGACCCCTGGTCTAGTTCCTCCTTCCTCCAACTTTTGGTCTATTCAGCCTTCCACTCCTGGGCTCAAGCGATCCTCCTGCCTCAGCCTCCCGAGTAGCTGGGGCTACAGGCACCAGCCACCACGCCCACATTGGATTGGAGAGCCCTCCCCCCCACATGGGGAGGGAGCCTGCTTTACTGAGTCCACCAAGTCAGATGCTAAACTCTTCTGGAAACATCCTCACAGACACATCCAGAAACAATGCTCAGCTGGGCAACCCTGGGGTCAGTCAAATTGATCCATAAAATTAGCCATCACACATGCTTATTCTAGAAAACTTGGGAAATATAGATAAGAACAAAGAAGGAAAATCAGTCCCCCATAATTACCCAGCCTAGCCAATGAGCACACAGGAGTTCACCCCTACAGGAAGGTGAAAGGAACAGTGAGGTCGGCCATGGCCACCCCATGGGTAGGATGCTGGAAAATGACTCCCTATAAATGTGTAAAAACCATCCTTTTTGGTTTTCTCTTTCAATAGTCAAATGAGAATAAGGCTGAGGACCTGATCTTTTCGAGTTTTGGGATGAACTTGGAAGATAAAATTACAGGATAATTTGAGATACGTAGAAATGTTATGTTTCAGATATTCCTTCTCTACCTGGGGATGACCAGTTTGCTTGAAGTTGGCAGCTATTTCGTACATTTGTGTGTTGCCTTTGGCCAAAGGACCCAGCTGGGCATTGAAATAGCCCACGTGGCATGTCATTAAGTGGGGAGGCTTAAGGCAAAGGAAGTTTAACACCCGGATAATACAGTGTAGTGGTTCAGAGTGTGCTGTTCACTTCCTGCCTTCCCATTTCCTCAAGGTCTGACCACATCACTTCACCTTGATGTATCAGTTTCCCCATCCATAAAATGGGTGTAATAATAGTACTTAGCTCATAGCGCCATTAGGAATATGAAATTAGTTCACATGTGTTAAAGCAGCGGTCCCTAACCTTTTTGGCAACAGGGTCCAGTTTCATGGAACACAGTTTTTCCACGGATCCCAGGGGAGGAGGGGGAGGATGGTTTGGGGATGCTTCAAGCACATTACGTTATTACATCTGCAGTCACTCCCCAGCGCTAGCGTCACCGCCTCAGTTCCACCTGGGATCATCAGGCATTGGATTCTCATAAGGAGCTGCAACCTAGCTCCCTCGCATGCGCAGTTTACGGTAGGGCTCACGCTCATATGAGAATCCAATGTGGCTGCTCATCTGACAGGAGGCGGAGCTCAGGCGGTGATGCGAGTGGCGGGGAGCGGCTGTACACACAGATGAAGCTTTGCTTGCTCGCCTCCTGCTGTGCAGCCCGGTTCCTAACAGGCCACGCAGGGACTGGCACTGACCAGTGTGTGCCCCAGGGGTCGGGGACCACAGTGTTAAAGTACTCAGAGGAGTGCCCGGCTCGTAGCAAACAGTGGAGTGTTAGCTTTTATTACTTCGAGGATCCGTTCATTGTTCACAAGGCGGTGTGTGTGGACCCAGTGCCAGCACGGGATTTGGAGTCCACCTCTTAGCGATTGTAGACGACTCAAGTGCATGCTAACACTCTCCTTGTCTGTGTTTGTCATCTTGCAGCCAGGAGGAGGAGGAGGAGGAGGAGGAGGCCGCCTCAAGGTACTACGTCCCCAGCTACGAGGAAGTGATGAACACAAACTACTCAGGGGCGAGGGTGGTGGACCAGAACCCGAGGTTGAGCATCTCTCTCCCCTCCTACGAGTCGTTGACGGGGCTGGACGAGATGACCCCCACCAGGGCTGACCTGGAGACCAGCCCGGGGAATCCGCCCGACAGGCAGAACTCTAAGTTGGCCAAACGCCTGAAACCGCTGAAAGTTCGAAGGATTAAATCCGAAAAGCTTCACCTCAAAGACTTTAGGATCAACCTCCCGGACAAAAACATCCCCCCTCCTTCCATTGAGCCTCTGACGCCTCCGCCACAGTACGACGACGTGCAGAAGGCCCCCGACACCCGGCCACCTGACTGAGCGGCCCCTCTCGAGCCGTGTTCCCTCCTGTCTCTCTCGCCCTCCCCACCAACAGCCCGTAACCAAGCCCTCAGCCACGGCTGAGCGCAGGGGCCAGCTGTGCACTTAGCAGTTTGGACGGGGGGTGGCGTTCTCTGTGTCAGGAGTGACTCTGGTGTCCCACGGAGCCTCGTGTAGCAGGTGCCGCCAAAAGAGGTGCGGCCTTGGAACCCGTGAGCCTGTGGGCCACGTCAAGGGTGCAGCACAGGCACCTTCCTCATCATCCTCATCCTCTTTTCTCAACTCTGCACCGTGGGCGACACACTCCTCTTTCCAGCTAGGAAAGGACCCCTAGCGACCGGCTTAGATTGTGGTTGTTTCGTTTTGCTTCCACTAGGACTGTTTTGTTTCAAAAAGAAAACAAGTTTGTGTTTGTTTCCTTCACTGGAGTCCTGAACTGAGGGCAGGAAATAGGACTGAGCTTTGTAGAAAGGACCGGAGCTGTTTCGTGAATCGAGCGGTGAGGCCGAGGCAGTGGCTCTCTCCGAAGCCCCTGTCGCCAGCGGTTCTTTGAGGGCCTAAGGCCTGATGAGCTTCAGCATGCGATGTGTAAGATGACAGTCTTCGGTGGTCAGTTTACTAGTCTCTACCATGTAACAGCAAAAAAAAAAAAAAAAAAAATGTAGGAAATGTTCTGTTCCTTCTGAAATGCCTAGCGACAGAGTTTTTATAATAAAATATTTTGTATGTAATACATTTGGGTGCTGAATTACTTTATCAGCTTTTCCAATACTGACTTTCTTAGGGGAAAATATCAGTAATAAAAGCTAATATGTACTGAACACTTGCTACCTGCCAAGTGCTGTGCTAAGCCTTTCATGCATGTTCTCCCATTTAGCCTGGACTCAGTTCTGCAGGTTGGTTCACAGAGGCTTTAGGTTAATGAAAGCACCCCATGTCACACCGCTAGCAAGTGGCAGAGCTGGGATTTGAGCCCACGGCATCTGGCTCCAAGGCCTGAGTTCTTAAAACACTCTATTGTGAAGCTCAGTATAAAGGGCTTTTCTAGACTTGGAATGAGGACTTGCACTCCCGAGATTGGAGGCTGTCCCCATCAACCCATGTACCCAGTAAAAAGTTCTGGTTGTTTAAACAGCAGCCTTCTAGGCATCCTTCCCACATCCCTCTCCTGAGAACTGACCTGGAGGGAGCTTGGCACAGCCTGTAATCTGCCCCCAGGACTGACTGTGAGCATGTGGGGAGGGTGAGCACATCCTCCCAAAGGGAGAAAGCGACTCCCTGCGCAGCCCAGGAAAGCGGGGCAACCAGTGAGAAGAGCCCAGGCCATCGCAGACTGCCGAGGAAGGACAAGGGAGGGGAATGGAGACCTCTGGGGTCAAGGCCTTGACTGTGGAGTAGGTGGCTGGGAAGACAGACCCAAGTCAAGAAGAAGCCTTCCTGGTATTGGTGAGCATGGAGTGGGCCTGCCGGGAGTCTGTTGGCCTGGAGCCTGGTTGGAAGAGTAATTCTCAGGCTCTGATGTTTCCTAACAAGCTCCTATGGAGAGGGAAGGGATGGCAGTCGGAAGGGAAATCACCTTGTCTCAGGATTGGCAGTGGTGCCTAAAGTTCCAAACTTTCACTTGCCTCGTGCAAACACATTACAAAAAGGGGAGACACTGGGATTGGCTTTGTGGCATGGAACACCCAGAGGCCTGGTCTGTTTCTGAGCCGACCCGTGGCTCTCTGTGTCTCTCCGCATCTCATGTCTCTGGCCTGGGCCTGCTTTTCTGTTACCCTCTATGCTTCCTCCCATCTAGACAATAGACAGGAGGAAAAGTAAATGGGCAGAATAGCAAGGTCCCAGGCGCGCTGAGAAATGACTTTCCGGAAAGGCTCTCAATCTGGCTACTCGTAGGCACCTTTTGGGGTGTCTGCCTAGTCTAGACCTTCTGTGGAGGAGAAAGAGGTTTGGGGCTTGTGGCATGCTGAATGGTGGCGCCCAAAGATATCAGACCCTAATCTCTGGAACCAGTGAATATATCCTTCTATGGTAAAGCTGTTGCAGACGTGATTAAATTAAGGTTTGAGATGACGAGATGATCCTGGGTTGCTGCCAACCACAGTAAGTGAGAGGGGAGGGGATTATATACCCAGAAGAGCAGGAGGCAATATGCCCGTGAAGGCGGAGATCAGAGCCTGCATCTACAAGTCAGGGAACGCAGGGAAAGCCAGGAGAGGCAAGGAATGGACTCTTCCCTGGAGTCCCAGGGTTCATGGCCCTGCTGACACCTTGATTGCTACTGATTTTGGACGTCTGGCCTCCAGAATTGAGAGAAAACAAATTTCTGTTGTTACAGGTCACCAAGATTGTGGTAACTTGTTACAGGCGTCATAGCAAACCCACTCAGGGCTCAATCTTCAGCTCACTAGACACCAGCCCCCTCTTCGGCCTGAATACTTTGTGACTGTTCCTACAGGAGGACTGCCATGGAAATAGCCTTTAGGACCTCTGCTTGTGTAATGAGCCTTGCAAAATGACCCCCTTCCTGAGTTATGATATTTTTTTGTTCCCTCAGACTTTACCAGTCAAGCCTAACAACCAGATTTAATTTAACTAGCCTTGTCACAGCACTCACCATCTGTCACACACAACTGATTCTTGAATCAGACCACCTGAAGACCCTATGACTTCAAACCCCTGCATTTCCACAACCCACTAAAAGAGCCCTTGCCTTCAGCTGGGGGGCTGGAGGTGCAGATTTGAGGCTATTTCTCCCAACAGACATCTTTCATGTTAAAATTCCTGTATTCCCCGGCAATCCTCCTGTTCTCAATAATTGGCTCTTTGCGCAGTGAGTGATGGGACTTAAGCTGGATCCCTTTTTGGGTTTGGTAACAGTCGTATGTGTGGAAACGATCAAGTAGAAAATTTTTCATATTACTCAGGATATATAATGCACATCTGGTTTATATTAATACAATATAGAGCTTAGGTTCACCTCTTTCTGAAACAAAGGCAGAGAGAATGTTAGCTGGAAACGTTAACCACAGGTTGGAGTCCTGAATAGTATCTAGAGGGGCAAGGAAGTTCTCTGCAATATTAAGTTAGAACTGCCTGTCACAGCAGGGGCCACCTTCACTCAACATTCCTCAGCACACGCTCATGTTTTCTTATTGATTCAGTCCTGTCGTCATCATTCTCAGGGGTCTCTGTCTTTGGACTACAATTTGGACTATAAGAAAAAACAAAGGAAAGAGAGAGAGAGAGAGGAAAAAAAAAGGGAAAAAGGGGAGGAGCGGCTAAAAAGGTAAAAACCAGAAGACTTCAGGCCTTTTCTTTCCTCCCCATCTCGTTTTTGTTCTTACGGTAAATATATGAGACAGAGATGTGTAAGAAAATGCAAGAAGCCACCCGTGTGTTCTTGGGCCAGAAATGGCCCCAGCTCTAGGAAAAAGCAGTGAGCAGAGATCTGAATGAATGAAGGTTTTCTTAAAGTCACATCCTGCACTCCCACACCCTTGAAAAGGAGGAATCTCTGCAGCCATGTTGGTATCATGTGACCGCCACACTTTCAGGTCACAGCTGATTGGACGTAGGGTGTGTACACGTGACCCAGGGAGAGCCAATCAGAAGCTGAGCTAAGTCAGGCCCCCCCCTCTCAGGAATCTGGTCCTGGGATCAAGAGGTCAGTTGGGCAATGTGGTCTCAGGGATTAGGTGACCATTTTGAGGTCGTCAGGATGGGCCATAGGCGAGTGAAGTGGAGGAAGCTGCTCTTCCAAGAGAGAATGAAGATAACTGCTCAAAGAGGCAGCCGTGGAAAACAGACCTTAGAGACAGCTGCCTCCTGGTGACTCGTGGGCCCGAGGTCCGTAGGAAGCCCACTGTCCTTCTGCCCTTCGGTTCCGTTAGAGATGCTGTGTCCTCCCAATACATCCGCCTTGTTGGCTTCAATCCTGAATTTAACTGAAATCCCGGAAGATGGGGACTGCCTTTACAGTGCTGGGCCCCCAGGTGGTACTCCACACCCCTCCTGCCCTTGATTCTGGTTTCTGCTTTCCTGGGACCGCTTACAGCTCTGGCGAAGGGGAGCCACCAGCAGGTAACTGAGGCAAAAGACCGCACTGAACATGACTGTGACTGCAGGGTAGAGCGTTGCCTGGTGTGTGTGGCTGAGTCAGCTGGATCCATCCATTCCACAAATGCTACTGAGCTCCCATTATATGCCAGGCACTGGTTTAGGCTCTGTGCTGCAGCAGTGAAGCTAAACCCTGCTCTCCATGGGAAGGGTTCTTGCTCAGGCTCTGTTTCCCAAAGCAGGTCCTGTGACCTTGGGTGACAGTTGAGTCAGCTGGATCCATCCATTCCACAAATGCTACTGAGCTCCCATTATATGCCAGGCACTGGTTTAGGCTCTGTGCTGCAGCAATGAAGCTAAACCCTGCTCTCCATGGAAGGGTTCTTGCTCGGGCTCTGTTTCCCAAAACAGGTCCTGTGACCTCGGGTGACAGTCGCCCTCGGGTGACAGTTGCCCTCGGGTGATCATTCTGGACTGAGTACCTGAACTGGGTGTGATGCATTTGAAAGCCGCAGGGTAGCCATGTGCACAGAGAGGGATGGTCTGCCAGAGGAGATGAATGAAGCACAAGGTCACAGAGGAAACAGCCCTGCACAGAAAGACATAGATTAGCTGCTTTGTGGTTCCTGGCCCTGGACCCTGGCCACACACCGTGCCCTTTGGGTCTGTGCAGTGCCCCTGTATGCTTTCAGTAAATCCTCTCTTTGCTTAAGCAAGTTGGAGTGGGTTTCTGTTACTCGATGCCACATGTCCTGAGACGACTCAGTTCTGGATGGATAAGCATGAGATGGTAAAGCCAAAATAAATCTGCAAGGGAGCTGCGATACTGAAAATGGGACGCAGCTGTGTCACTGGAAATGGACGGATAGATTGAACCACGGGCTCTAAAGGGCAGCACACGAAAAGCCCTGCTGAGGATTAATGGGCTCATTTCTTGCCTTAAAGGGCCTGACAAGGACCATTTAGCTCCCAGGATGAGTCGTGCTGAGAGTTCCAGTGTGGAGCGAGGGAAGGCCAGCCCCGACTCTGTCTGCAGGTGTAGAATGTGAGAGAAGCGCTTTCCACCTAAGTCCCAGTCTCTCCACCAGCAAGATGGAGGTCGCGAGTTTTGCAGCAGGTGCCTGAGACAACACAGGTAAAGTGCTCACGCAGTCCCTGGCATGGAGACAGCGAGAGGCACGTGGCGGCTGTGACTGACGCACAGTCTGAGGGAGAGCAGGCCGGAGATCCAGGCGCTTTTCCAGGCCTGCGCCTCACACCCATTTCTAAAAGCGTGTTCTAAGAAAATTCACCAGGCGCCACAAGTTTGGGAGGAATCTTCGAGGAAAGCCGGCTTCAGGTACGCAGCAGCAGGGCCGCGTGATTAAGGCCAGCGGAGGCAGCCCCGGGGGCTGGGGTGACCCTGGCCTGGACTTGGTCCCTCAGTTCACGTGAGGGGGGCTCCATCCTGGAGAGTGGGCAGGTCCGTGGGTTTTGTCTGGCTTTCAGCCTAATGCCGCATTGTCCGTACACTCAGACGGGAGCGGCTCACGCTGAGAAAGGGAATCTCAGGAGGCCACGGCTGTCAGGACGGCAGTGTCCTCGTCTCTGCTGATTCCTCAGCACGTTCCCCTGGATGCTAATGGGTGGGTACAGAAAGGTCCCTGATTAGATACATTTGGGAATCCCCACATTAAACAAAGTGTATTTGCTCAACACATTTTTATTGTGTACCTACTATGTGCCACGTGCACGGGATAAAGCTGCAAACCATGGATCAAGTCCCTGCTGACACAGAGTTACATTCTTGGTGGAGGCGTGTACAGATAATTAAAAATAAGAGATTATATGATATAATGTCAGAAAACAAGAAGAAAATAAAGCAGGGTAAAGGACGGGGGGGGGCGGGGGGCTAGGATCACCTTTGTGGGTGATCAAGAAAAGGCCCCCGGGAGGTGACACTGGAGGAAAGTGCAGAGTGACCCACAAGGATGTCTGAGCACAGAGAATTCCAGAAAGTCCCTCTTATGCTTATGCATACTCTGAATCTCGAAGCAGGTGCTGTGGGCCATCGAATTTCCTGAACCGATTTGGCCACAGGACCTTTCTTCCGCCGCAAAGCGTCTTCCATGGCCAGCTTTCATAGAACACACTACAGGGAATGGTGGTTGAGGCAAACCCAGTCATTCTACAGTGGAGAGAAACAGGCCTCAGAGAAGACACTTGTCCAACGCCCTACAGCTGGCGGACAAAGCTGTCCGTTAGCCGCAGATCAGCAGCTAAGGCAAGCCGCTAAGATCACCCCAGCACCGGACAACCTGGGGGAGAACCGCGGCCAGGGACCCAGCACGAGGCAGACACAGGTGCCTGGGGCCTCCCCGATCTCAGCCCCACTGCAGACGTCCCCGTGTCCACGCCCTGATGGGGGGCTGCTGCCTGTGAGGGAAGCCTGCGCCCCTCAGGACAGCCCTCCACCTCCAAGAGGAGCCGCTGCTTGGCCGAGTTCTTGCACCTGTGTGGACGGCAGTTCACCCTCTGGGTGGTTTGCGAGACGCCTCCAGCTCGTTCGGAAGCACGTTCGCATCGCGCCAACAGGAGAAAGCAGCTCCCTGTCTCCATGTAGCAAAGCAGCTGACCTAGGAAATGGCGTTGGGACTGCTGAAGCCGAGAGGGCGCGTGGCAGCGAGCCGCAGCACGTCCATTCTCCCATGATGGAGAGCGGCGGCTGGGAAGACCCTTGGCGTGTGCTGCGAGCCGGCCAAGGCCGGGAGGAAAAGACACCGAGGCATGAGTACACAATACGTGGGTGCAGATTTGTCCAGAAGAGCCACTGGAGCGGACTCGTGTCATGCCCACTAGAGGCCTTGAACACATAGCCCGTGCAACAGGAGTTTCCTCGGGGCCAACCAGGCTGCCCACCACGTGTGTCTCATCGACACCAATGCCCCAGGGACAAGCAGATCCTGGAACTCTGCACACTCCAGGAAGGAATGGAAAAGGATGGAAAGGATGGAAAACAAGTTGCTACCAACCCACCAACCCCCAGATGCAAGGAATGTGATGAAACATTCTCACGTCCCAGGGAAGCTGTTAAACATCTGCACCAACGCCGGAACTGGACGTTTTCACCTTAGGTCAGTGATTCTCAACCAGGATTGATTTTGCTCCCCAAGCAACACTTGGCAATATTACGGTGCGGGGTGGGCTACTGGCATCTAGGAGGCCGCGGATGCTGCTAAACCTCCTACAATGCCTAGGACCGTCCCCACTGCAAAGGGCTATCCTGCCCCAAGTGTCAGGAGTCCCAAGGTTGAGAAACCCTCCCTAGACAAAGGGAGCTCCATTCTCTTGGGCAATGGGGACCCCATAGAGCCTGGCCACCCAGTGTCAACTCCTTCAAAAAAAAAGCAGGAAACAATCATCCTTGGAGATCAATCTGAGTGTGTTACTTATCATTTTTCTTTTTAAAACATTATCACTTTTACAAAGACTGTTTTCCTAGCCTTCCTGTTCCAGGACTGCAAATCTAATTCTCCCCGTCATGACATAAACAGATTTCTCTTCCCTTTCTCCCTTTCTCCATCTGTTCCCAGCCCTGCCTCTGTGCATTAAAACCTGGGATTTATTAACTGTAATATGAAGGATGAGGAAAAGATAATGGTACTTACAAACTCTACGAAATTTTACATTATTTAAAAGCATACTTAGAACCAGTGAAGGGCATATAATAAAACAACTGGAATACAAGTTCGGAAGCAAAAATTATGGCGTGACTTTTCCTGGGTTATAAATCTTCTCAGGAAAAAACAGTGTCAGATAATACAGCATGCTTCTCAGAGATAAGCTGGGCTCAGAACTGTATAAAATTTAGGAGTTGTGCAGGATCTTTAAAACCAAGAAAATGTTCTTAGTGTTTATCCTCACGGTGTCTTATTTCAGAATGTATCCTGAGCGATTGTGTTTAGTCGAGAAAAGTCATTAGCATCTATTTTAACAAAGCATAGAAGAGAGAAAAATAATGTGATAATATGATAGCAAGCTTTTCCTTTTAATGTTTGGATAAAATGTGACAAGTCATGAGTGTATGTGTTTGGAAGAGAAATTGTATGAATACTTGTTATAAGCAAGTGAGTAAATGCACCTGTCTTATCTAATTGCTGCATCTTTGAACATTGAACTGGAAGAGTGAAAGAGAGAAAGGCCAGGCACAATAGCTCGCATCTGTAATCCTAGCACTTTGGGAGGCTAAAGCAGGAGAATTGCTTGAGGTCAGGAGTTCGAGGCCAGCCTGGGCAACATAGCAAGACCCACACACACACACACACACACACACACACACACCCATCTCTACAAAAACTTTTAAAAAAAGAGAGAGCACTGCATTTTTTGGTTTCTGACAAAGTAGTTGTCTGTTTTAAAAATCAGATGGAAAGTACTAGTCCACAAATTGACTTTTTGAATCAGAAGGGACATGCCATTCTAGCAGTTGCCAGTGGTAAATTCATTTTACACAAACTGAGTTTTTTTAAATTAATGCAAATGCAGCAGAGAAAAGGATATAGGAATATGTGTATATTCCTATACACATAGGAGCTGTGGGCAGAAGAGGGCAATAATTTTAATGACTTTAAAAGGTAATGCTAAGTTTATTGAAAATATCCATTTACTCAGTCAAAATGGCAAAGAGCAATCAGAACCAAAAATCTAACCGCTATTTGGGATAAAACTCGATTTTGATGTTTATTTTCCAAGATCCAAAAAAATGTTTTAATGCCGAAATTTTTTCCATTGGCTAAAAGTAGTCTATTAATCTTCCCTTAGGCCAATAATAGAAAGGTCACAGGGCAAAATGGAGCCAGGAGCAAGACCAAAGGGGGAGAGTAGGGGTGGAACATCGAAGGGCTAAGTTCTGGGCACATGTGGAAAACAGACTGTCCCATGGTCCTACTTCACATATAGTTGAAATCTTAGATGTACATTGTCAGCATCCTTTTCAATAAACATTGAAGTCAGTGGAATATGATCTTATCTCCACGGATTGCTTCTAGTCAGGGCTTCTCAACCAGGGCACTATTTACATTTTTAGCTGGATAACCCTGACGTTGGGAAGGGGTGGGGAGGTGACAGGCAGCTCTGTTCATTATAGGGTACTTAGCAGCAGCACCCCAGCCTCTACACACTAGATGCCGGAGCACCTCCCAGGTGTGACAGTCAAAAATGTATACAGAACATTATCAAAAGTCCTCTGGAAGGCAAAATGCCCACAGTTGAAAATGACAGCTCTACTGGGGGGGGGGGGGGCAATGCAGTATGGAGGAGAAGAGAAGAGATTATCATCTGAGTGGCGATTCCCATGTCTGTAAAATGCAATATTGGTAACCACGTTGGGTTACAAGACTGGGAGAAAGAAATGAGTAAATTATATATGAAAATGCCATAAATTTTGAGGAGGAATGGGTCTAGAGTTCATCTTGTTCAACTTCCTTGGACAGGGCAGGAAAACTGAAGTTAAAAGATGTTTGCCTAAAGACCACACTGATGCTATACAGACCTAGATGGTTATAATGAAATATTGAGTGGTTGCCATTTGGAAAAACAAAGGACACAGGAGCCAAGCCAAACTCAGGACCCCTGAGATGGCGCCATGTGGGTTGAGCATCCAACCAAACAGTGGCTTAAAAGGACCGAAACACAGCTACTTGGGTTTTTTTTGTTTGTTTGTTTGTTTTTGTTTTTGAGACAGAGTCTCACTCCATTGCCCAGGCTAGAGTGACAGCTACCTATTTTTAAATCAAATATTTCTAGTGACATTTTAAGAAACTCATTGGTCACTTTTGGCAGTGACTTCTTACTCTGAATATTGATACACAAAGGGAAAGAATCAATCATTTACTCTGCCTTCCCTGAACACACTGAATTTTATGATAAATAATTGATGAAGGATATTCTTTCTAGGAGAATTCTAGCTAATAATTAGCAAAAGAATAACAGAAAGATCCCTATTCTTCAACTCCCAAGAGAAGAATGGATCTAGGGTATGATCCTCATGCATGCTAAAACTATTAGGTAAAAAGTTGATGAGCCCAAGTGTCCATTGATGGACAAACAGATAAACAAAATATGGTCTGTACATGCAGTGGAATATTATTCAGACTTAAAATGGGTAGAAGTTATGACACATGCCCCGACATGATGAACCTTGAGGGTATGGTACTTACTGCGTGAGATAAGCCCTTACAAAAAGACACATACTGTATGATTCCACTTGTATGAGGTCTCTAGAATAGTCGAATTCATAGAAACAGAAAGTGGAATGGTATTTGTCAGGGCCTGGGAGGAAGGAGAAATGGGGAGTTAGCGTTTAATGGGTATAGAGTTTCACTTTGGCAAGATGAAAAAGTTCTGAAGATTGGTTGCACAACAATGTGAATATACTTAACACTACTGAACTGTATACTAAAAATGGCTAAGATGGTAAATTTTATGTGTATTTTACAAAAAAATATAATTTAAAAGTTACTGGAAAAAAAGTTGATGAGGACTTTATAATGGATGGATCAGTTGTTAGCACCGGTCCCACTGATCAATCTTGACATCATTCAAAAGGGGCCAGATGGCTGTGGTCTGCTCATGGCGTGAGGCAGGGAGAATCACACAGCCTGCCTGGGAAGTCGTCTAGACAGCAAAAAGACTGAATCTAATCAGGCTCCAGACTTAACTCTTCGTTTGCAGGAAACATGGGGAAAGAAGAACAAGTTAATTGAAACCACGAAGAAGCAATCGGCCCAATCCAGGATGTGCATATTTTATCGGACAAAGCACCCAGTTTCTACAACAAATCAGCGGTACGATAAAAGGGCGGGGGGGAGGGGGGGTGCCGTTGTAGAATAAGAGAGATTTCAAAGACATCATAACCGCCAGGCGCAGTGGCTCACGCCTGTAATCCTAGCACTCCAGGAGGCCGAGGTGGGCGGATTGCTCGAGGTCAGGAGTTGGAAACCAGCCTGAGCAAAAGTGAGACCTCGTCTCTACTATAAATAGAAAGAAATTAATTGGCCAACTCATATATATAGAAAAAATTAGCCAGGTATTGTGGCGCATGCCTGTAGTCCCAGCTACTTGGGAGGCTGAGGCAGAAGGATAGCTTCAGTCCAGGAGTTTGAGGTTGCTGTGAGCTAGGCTGATGCCATGGCACTCACTCTAGCCTGGGCAACAAAGCGAGACTCTGTCTCAAAAAATAAACAAACAAACAAAAAAAGACATAATAACCAGACACAGCATGTGGATCATATCTAGATCCTATGCTAACAAATCAACAATACAAGGACAGCTCTGAGAGAATCAAGGAAACGTGAGCACAGACAAGTGTTAGGTGATACTCAAGAATTGTCAGTGTCATCTTGTTATAAGGGGCAATGTAAAGGGGGTTAAAGCTCCTTTCAGTTAGGAAATATTTATGGGTCAAAATGACTCAATTTGCCTTAAATTAATCCAGGAAATACAAAATGAAAAAGGAAGAAAAAAAAAGAGATGAAACAAGATTGGAAAAATGTTGAAGCTAGATGCTGGGGCCTTGGGGTTAATTATATTCTTCACTTTTCTGTACGTTTCAAAAATTCCATAAAGAAATCCAATTTTTTAAAGTGAGTAGTCCCAAAGGAACATACACACAACACAGGAAGAATGAGCTATAAACAAAGTGTAAGCAAATGAGGAAGCCAGGGATTCCTGAGGATAAATATCTGTACCAATTTGGGGAGTTAATTGGCGCAGGAAATGGGAGGTTAAGCCTTTGCAAAGCGAGCTGGTCCACTGTAAGATGCCTGTGTTAAGCCAGAACCTTCAAAGGTGCTGTATATCCTGGCAAGGGGAGGGCTTTAAATACGTTTTTTCTGGACTGCCAGAAAGGGAGACTATGGGCTCTCCAGGGGTTCCGGGTGGGCAGGGGAAAGTTAATAATGGCCACAATAATAATGAAGATGATTGTCAGCCCTGAGGATTTGTAACCACATGGGGCTAGGGTTCAAGTTTACACTCCATACATTCGACAGAGAAACTAAGGAATGTAAGCGGTCACAGGTTGGTAGCATCTCTGACATGCAGCTCAAACAAACAAAAATCCCTCCTAGAGAAAAGCAGCCAGGAATCAGACTGCTCAGGATTCCCACAGATTAATTTCAATCAAAAATGAAATCACAATCAAGTTACTAAACATCTGAGAAACAAGTCAGTATGAGCAAGAATAAGTAGAAAGGAGCAAGAATAAGTAGAAAGAATAAGTAGAGTGAGATACTTCCTCCACCCCCAAGGACTTCAGATGTTGAAATTATCCCACACAGATTCTAAAATAAATATGCATTAAATATTTTTAAAAGAAGGATTTTCAAATGAGCAAGGGATGAGACTACCAAAAATGGCCAGGCATTTGACCTCAGAAGTTTGTGGGATCTTGGGAAGAGCTGCTTGACCCCTGTACTTTTGACACTTCCATTCCGGTGGGAGAAACAGATTTATTTAAATAATCAAAATACGCTGGAGGTAAAAGTGCCTACAGAACCCAGAGAAGCAATGTGAGCGAGAGCAGCGGGCAGGGAGAACACAGGCTGTATCTGAAGAGGGCAGCCTCTGCTCAGCCCTGGCAGATTGTTGCAGATTATATGCAGGAGCAGAGCCCAAGCATTGCCAGATTTCCAACTTCTAGTTTCAAAAAAAAAAAAAAAAAAAAGATTGTAAATTAAAATAGTGTGTGCGTGTCGGCCACTGTGGTGGACAGCTGCAGCTCCTGACACCCAATGTGGACTCACCTGTTTCCTGAAATATTATAGTGTTATGATTCCCCTGTGGGGACCACCCCCTTTCTCAGCCTCAGCCCAGTTTCTCATTCTCTTCCTGGTAGAGTACTGACTTCGTCTCTGGCTGCAGGGATGGGCACTGACTCAAGCTTAGCCAATCAAATCATAGCAGTCCCCTGGGCTGTAGTAATTGCCTTAGAATGGGCCTGTGAGCCAATCCTTTGGGGGAATCTTAAGAAAAATACACTCACTCTTCCCCTTGAGATTCAAAGCTGAGAAGATATAAGGGCTGGAGCTATGGCAGCCTTTCTGTGACCATTATACAGAGATCCTGCCTAAGGTTGGATCCACATGGTCAAAAAGCTTTGCTGAGAGCTAGAGAGAGACCAAAGCCCAAGGACACCAGTTGGGCTCTGTAGACTTTTCATTTATGGTAACCAGTGAATTTGCTTTCATGCCAAAGCCAGTTTGAATTGGGTTCTCCGACACGCCACAGAAAGAGGCTCTATCCCTCCAGCAACTAATTAAAAGTCTTTTAACACACAGTGAAAGCAAAACAGACATGAGGGCTGACCAAGGGCCTTCGGTCTGCAGCCTCAGCACCTGGCCTTTCCCTCTGTACCACCGTGCGCAGCCTCTTACTACCCACCGTCTAGCTCCTGCGCCCGCCGCCCCTGCCCCCGGGTTCTTCTCTCCCCTCCCTGCCTCTTGAGATCCTACCCCTCCTTCAAGACTCAAGTCAAATGCTTCCTTTTTCCTAGAGCCTTTCCTGACCCCCCAAGCCCCACTCTAGGCAGAGGAATGTCCCTCCGTCTCCAACCTCAGGCCCCTCTGAGCCCCCGGGGGAGCCCCCTCGACCCTTCTGCTCAGGATCCTAAGTACCCAGGACGTTCCCTCCTCCCTCGCTTCTTGACAGCGGTCCAAATTCAGACGCAGATTAGGAGGGGTGATCTTGGAGACTTAAGTTTCAAAAAACAATCAGTTCTCAGGAGAGGTCAGAAAACATGGTGAAAGATGAGGATTTGGGCGAGGGATCGGAAAGAAAAGGACAGTTGTTCTGGAGAAAAGAGAGAGTCTATGTTGAGTGCAGTGAGGAAGGAGGAAAAACTGGACATATTTAGACCAAACGAAATGATTCAGAGGAAACCTAAGAAGACCTGTCTAGAGAGGCGGGCGGCTGATCTGCTCGGAAGGGAAGATAAGGCGTGTGACGGGAACGACCTGAAACAAGAACGAAATGCTGCAATTAGGGGCAACTGTTGAAAGGAGAAAGGAATGCAGGTGGCAGTGAGATGCCACAAAGCCTCCGGAAGACAAGGGAGGTGACCAGGGATGAGGTCATCGCGAACAGGACAAACGAGGAGATTTGTTGTTGAGTGAGAGCAGCTTTCTCAAAAGGCAGGGATCACGTCTGCTCGCCGCTGATAGACACTCGGGGCCACCAAGGCCTTCTGGAATTTGCTGTTCGACACACAGGCACAGGGAAGGGCCCCAGGAGGGCAGGCAGCTGCTAGATGTGCGGAAAGAGCCACTGCGAGTCCAAGGTCAAGGTGAGCAAGGCTGTCAGCTTGGGAGCCGCCCCGGGCAAATGCTCTCTCTTCTCACTTCCTGAACCCCGTCAAGCATCCCAGCCCCGTGCACAGCTGCCATGCCTCCTCCCCCGCGACCAGCCGTGTCTTTGTATGATAAGACAACTAAGCCAGCCCCGCCCTGCGAAGGCTCTAACCTGTGGTGGAGAAATCTGGTTGTGGCTCTGGGTCCTCTTCCAGAAAAACGACACGTGGGCGCAGACGCATCACATTTTCCTCCCAAATTCAGTGGTTCCCACCCTCCCTGAGGCCCATCTCTAGGTCTCCTTGGACAACAGTTCCTAAACTCATTCATTTCATAAAAAAAAAAAAATTTATCCAGGCGTGGTGGCGCACGCCTGTCGTCCAGGGGGCTGGGGAGGCCAAGGCGGGGAGATCGCTTGAGCCCAGGAGTGCAAAGCCAGCCTGGGGTAACATAGCAAGACCCCCATCTCTAAAATAAATAAATTTTTACTGAGTGCCGACTACATGTCAGGTACTGCTCTGAGCACCAGCGATGCTTGGACCGAGAAAGGGACTGCACCACGCAGAGCATCGTTTCTGTTTCAGCCCTCCAGCAATCAGGAAGTCTGGGGGTGCGGCCAAGGGGTTTGGCGATTCGGACATGGGGCCATGTTTGGGACCCTACTGTCCCAAGGAACCTCAGGTCAAAACTCCCTCTGTAAGGAGAGAGGGGACAATAGTATTTAAAAACATGTGCTCTGACTGGAGTGTTTATACGCTGCTGGGAGGTATAGACTGGTACCAGCACTTGGAAAAATGTTTGGCAGAACCTTCCAAAGCTGGACATACACATACTCTGTGACCCAGCAATGGTACTCCTGGGTGTCTGGGTATCCGACAGAACTGTGTGTGTACATGCACCAAAAGACATAGACAATGGCCCCAATCGTCCCTGGTGTCACACCTCTGTGCGGTCCCCTCCCCTTGAGTCGGGTGGAACCTGTAACCTACTTCTTTTTTTTTTTTTGGAGACAGAGTCTCGCTTTGTGCCAAGGCTAGAGTGAGTGCGTGGCCATCAGCCTAGCTCACAGCAACCTCAAACTCCTGGCTCAAGCAATCCTCTGCCTCAGCCTCCCGAGTAGCTGGGACTACAGACATGCTTCACCCATGCCGGCTAATTTTTCTATATATGTTAGTTGGCAATTAATTCTTTCTATTTATAGTAGAGACGGGGTCTCGGTCTTGCTCAGGCTGGTTTCAAACTCCTGACCTTGAGCAATCCACTCACCTTGGCCTCTCAGAGTGCTAGGGTTACAGGCGTGAGCCACCACGCCCGGCCTTGTAACTTACTTCTAACCAACAGACAATGGCAAAGGTGGGACTGTGATCCTGTTACAGAAGATTGTAACGTGCATCTCTCTGTTGAGAGCCTGTTGACTCTCACAGGCTTTGATGAAGCAAGTCACCTTCCCGAGGGGCCCACCTGGCAGGAAACAGAGGGTGGCCTCAGCCAGTCGCCAGCAAGGAGCTGGGACCCTCCTTCTAAGACCCCTCCAGGAACTGAATCTTGCCAGTAGTGACGTGGGTTCGGAAGGGGACCCTTCTGCAGCTCGGCCTCAGGCGAGCCCTTGAGTGCAGCCTGTGAGGCCCTGAGGCCGAGGCCCCTGCTGAGCCACACCCAGACCCCTGGCTACCGAAGCTGGGAGGATACAGTGGGTTGTTCTGAGCTGCCACATTTGCGGAAACTCGTTAGGCAGGAATAGGTAACCAACACAGCCCTGCAGCGAGAAAGGACGGACCACAGCCACCTGAGACGACACGGCTGTATCTCACAAGCATAACGTCGAGCGAAAGAAACCAGCTAGAACATGGAATCAGTATGATTCTATTTACATGGGGTTCAAAAACAAACAGAACTAATCTCTGGTACTGGAAGTCAGGATAGAGGTTGCCCCTTGGGTGGGTAATGACAAGAAGGGGAGACTTCTGGAGGTCCTGGTGACGATTGGCTTCTTGACGTGGGTTCCGGTTAGGCAGCTGCATATACTCAGTAAAAATTCATCCAGTGCACACTTGGGATCTGTGCACTTTTCCATACACACGTTACCTTCAACAAAAAGTTTACCAAAAAGTACAGCACTACGCACTCACCTGGAAACCACCACTTACAAGATTTCTAACTGGGTGAGTTACTTGACTTTTCTCTGCCTCAGTTCTCTCAGTTCTTCCTTCTATTAAATGAGTTGGGCTAAGAATTAAATAAAACTGTGCATGACATGGCATTCGTTACCTAGGTAGCCTTAATAAATATTAGCTGGTTTTCACACATTCATACATGTTCCTCATCACTCACAAAAAATTAGTGGAGGTTTGCCCAGATGCCCGGAAGTAGAATTTATGAAGTTGTCCAGCAGAGACAACTGTGTTACCCCACAGAGACTGCTACTAATAGTTCCCAGGTCCCCAGCAGAGGGGCTCCATCCTGTCTCTGATATCCACATCCAGGAAGGCCCCAGGACAGCCAGGCAGATGACACGGGACTGTTCAGAGATCAGGTGTGCTCTGCAGTGGGACTAAGCCTTGATGCAAATGAAAACTTCTCCAGGATGTTTGTGACTCAGGTCCAGGTCGGAGCTATCCTCCCAGAGAATCAGAGAGAAAAACAACAGACAATAATAATTACAAACATGCCTAGAGCAAGTCAGTTGTATCAGGGACTGATCTGCTGTTTCATACATATTAACCCATTTTGTCCTTTCGGTCAGGGCTGTTATTATCCCCACTTTACAGGTGAGGCAATCGAGTCTCAGACAAAGTAAAACAAACCCAGCCCACCCCAGGCGGGACCAGCACACTTGGCAGTTTGCCAACAGAATGTACAGACTGATGCCCTGGCAAAGCACAGGGAACTCTGGGAAACTGCCTTTGAAGACTGATTTGCAAGAAAAGTGAATGCCCCGAACCAGCAATAAAGAGCCCAGGTGAGACCAGCCAGCTTGTTTTCTCATTTTCAGCTGACGTAAGGGGCGAGGACCGCTGCAGAAGGCCTGGGTCACCAGTTCCTCTCCCCACAGTTTGAAATTATTTTTATGAGTCTGTGTGTGTGTGTCTGTATATAAAAATCTGTACTCCCTAAGCTTATATGGTCAGGTTTTTAATGGGCTGGGGAGTCTCTAGTGGGCCCTCTGCTCTCTGTCATCCGTCACCCTGCGCAACGACTTGGCTATTTCCTGCTCGTGGGCTGCCTCGCTCTCACTTGTCGGAGGCCAGGGAGACTCCCCGCCTCTCCCGGCTGGGCCCGAAGCCAGCATCCATTTCATGCTGGAACGCAAGGGCAACGGCAGGGAGGAAGGGGTGGGCTCTCCCCAGTCCAGGACAGCCCAGGGAAGGCGGCAGGGGAGGATGAGATTTTATGGGGACAAAGTTCTGCAGGAAGGAAGCTCAGTGCCCAGAGTCAGCAGGAGGGTGGGTGACAGGCCTGAGCTGCCCCCACTTAGCTCACGCTCCTTTCCCTCCATGTCCTGGGCACTGCCTGGGCCTTGGGGACAGATAGGAGCTCAGCCTGCTCAGAAGTGAGGGAAAGCAGGTGGTGAGCAGGTGTCATCTTGTGGTTGTGACAGCTGTCACCCAAAGTCCCCCAGGACAAATACTATACCTCCCCTATCACACTCATCTAGATTTAAATCCTGCCAGATTCTCTAGCTGTGTGACCTGGAGCACATTCCTCCATGTCTCTGAGCCTTATTTCCCACAATACGGGCTTGGTAGCCACCCAGAGCTTAATAAAATGGATTGATGATAGGCACTGTCAAGAAGCCCAAATAATCTAGAAACATCTATTTTTTTGCTTCAGGGGCAGTATTTTTATAATACCTAGAGGGAATGTGGGAGGGAGACACAATAAATAACATAAATAAATAAAGGAAATAGTATGTTAGATGATGATAAGAATGTCTTAGTTCATTTTTCTTGCTATAAAGGAATGCCTGGGGCCAGGCAACATGGCTTACCCCTGCAATCCCAGCATTTTAGGAGGCTGAAGCAGGAGGATTGCTTGAGGCCAGGCGTTTGAGACCAGCCAGGGCAACATAGAGAGATCCTGTCTCTAAAGACAGGACATTTAAAAGGTAGCCGGGAGTAGTGGCATGAGCCTGTGGTCCCAGCTACTGAAGAGGCTGAAGCAGCAGGACTGCTTGAGCCCAGGAGTTGGAGGTCACAATGAGCTATGATTGCACCACTGCATGCCAGCCTGGGCAACAGAGAGACCTTGTCTCAAAAAGAAGGACTACCCGAGGCTGGGAAATTTATGAAAGAAAGAAGTTTACTGGGCTCACTGCAGGCTGTGCAAAATCATGGCACCAGCATCTGCTTCTGGTGGGGCTCAGGCTCCTCCACTCACGACGGAAGGTGCAGGCGGCCGGTACATGCAGAAATCACACGGGGAGAGAGGAAGAGAGAGGAGGTGTCAGATTCAACAGCCAGCTCTCACAGGGACTGACAGAGCGAGACTCACTCGTTACCTCGAGACAGCCCCACCTTTAACACCAGGGTTCACGTTTCAACATGAGATGTGGAGGGTCAAATATCCAAATCATGGCAAGTGGTTAGAGGGGACAGAGGGACAGAGCCTTGGGGTTTCATTTTGTTCTGATGAGCGTTTGTTCTCATGGATTGTTTTTATTTGCTCTTTTCTGTTGGTTGTTAGGGTTGGTGGTTGTTTATTCCAAGGAGAGGAAACATCAAGTGCAAAGGCCCTGCGGCAGAAACACGCCTGGGAAGCTGAGCCCAGCCCTCCTTGTTCCCGTGAAGCCTTCACTCGGGCCCCACCTGTGATCACGCCCAGCACTTTATACACAGGGTCTTTCTGGTTGTAGGGAGCTAAGCCAGGTGGAACCTTCCAGGCTGAGTGAGGGCCTGAAAGGGATGTTTAGGAACAGGCTCTGGGAGAGGTCTCAGCAGTTGAACTGCATGAATCAGCGGTTTTGCCAAGCTTATTACGAATGCACATTCCTAGACTATGGTCCACACCTGCTAAATCAGAATCTCTGGAGTCTGTGCCCAGGAATCAGCATTTCTAAAAGAAATTTAGGTACGTTTGAGCATCTTTACCATATATTCCACCCCAAATCGATTGTCATCATTTCTCTATCATCTTCCTATTGACTAGGGCACAGTCTGCCATAGTTCATCTTTCTTAGAAAGATGTTTTGAGTTGTTTTGGGGTTTTTTGTTGTTGTCTTGTTTTGAAGCACCTTGTCAGCCATTTCCTGCTGGTGAAATGAGGCCCCTTCTAGGTAGAGTCAGCGGGGTTGTTCTGCTCCCGGGCAGAAGAGGTTGGCCTGAAAAAGGTGGCAGGGTGGTGGAGGAGGTTGCATTTGCATGTCTTCCTAACACACTCCATCCCCCCCCCGTCCTGTGCTCACTGCACATGGGGCTTCGGGGTTTTTCTTCCTCTTATTTTTGGTTGACATGTAATAATTATACATATTTATGGGATACATGTATACAATTGTGCAATGATCAGAGTAATTAGCTCATTACCCCAAACATTTATCTTTTCTTTGTGTTGTGAACCATCAAACTCCTCTCTTCTAGCTTTTTGAAAATATACAATAAATTATATTTAACCATATTCACCCTACTGTGCTGCAGGACACAGAATTCATTCCTCCAATCTGTCTGTAATTTTGTGTCTTTTAACCAACTTGTCCCTCTCCTCCCTTCCCATTCCCCTTCCCAGCCTCTAATACCTGAAAGTCTACTCTCTCCTTCCATGAGCTCAAATTATTTTAGCTCCCACATATGCATGAGAACATGCAGTATTTATCTTTCTGTGCCCAACTTACTATGCTTAACGTGATGTCCTCCAGGCTCAACCATGTCGCTGGGAGTGACAGGATCTCATTCTTTTTCATGGCTGAATAGTATTCTGTTGTGTATGTACCACATTTTCCTTATCCATTCCTCTGCTGATGGACACGAGGCTGACTCCGATGTCTCAACTTTTGTGAACAGTGCCACAATAAACACGGCCCTTTGCTACACTGATTTGGGCAGGGGGTTACTTAAGGACAGTGACACATCCAGGTCGATTCTGGGGCCACAGACTGTCACTTACAGGGCCTTGGGATGTTTGCAGAGGTAAAGTGGACAAAAGAATGAACACGTGTCCGTTTTAACAGGGAACGGCAGAGGCAGTAGGATTGCAGGTTTGGAAATATCCCTCCCCCAGCACATGGAGGAAATCCTCATTCCTACAAAATTGTCCACTCCACTCCCTCCCTTCCAGCCCCATCCCCCGCCCAGCGGTGGCGGTCCCCTCCGCTTACTCTGCTTTCTGGTCTGTTCCCAGAAAGGACTGGAGATGTGGGTGAGGCAGGGGGAACTGACCTCCAAGCTTCCCCCAGTCCAGCTCCGTCCACCTCACCCCTGCCCGGCCCGCCTGCCTCCCCGCACCGGCTCGGAGCCCAGAGCCGGGGCAACAGAAAGGATTCCCGAGTCCAATCCCCGGTCTGGGCCGCTCCCGCGACCGCCGAGCCTCGGTTTCCCCAGCTGCGACGCCGGGTGGGCCGCTCCCGCGACCGCCGAGCCTCGGTTTCCCCAGCTGCGACGCCGGGTGGGCCGCTCCCGCGACCGCCGAGCCTCGGTTTCCCCAGCTGCGACGCCGGTGGACCGCTCCCGCGACCGCCGAGCCTCGGTTTCCCCAGCTGCGACGCCGGGTGGGCGAGCCCCGGCGGCACCCCAGGCGGACTGCGCCGTGGAGCCGCGCGCCCGCCGCGCCAGGCACGCCCCTCACCGCGGGCCGGGCGCGGCGTTGCCATGGCGACGCGCGTACACAGCCGGGCGGGCGCGCGGGGTGCGGGCCGCGGGCTGGAGACTCCGCGGGAGCGCGGCCGGGCGGCCTAGCCGGGGACCTGGCCCCGCGCCTCCCGAGCGGGCGGGGCTCTCGGCCGAGGGCGGAGCGGGGGCTTCCTCCTCCCGCCAGGTGAGTGCGGCGCGGGGCCGGGCGGGCCGGGACGGGGCTGCGGGCGGAGGAGGGTGCTCCCTCGGCCCCTCCTCTCCGACCCAGGCTCGGGGCGGGAACCAACACCCGGGGGGCTGCCCGGACACCGACCCCTCCTGCCTCAGTGCAGCCCCCGCCCCGCCCCGCCCCGGAGGGGGCCCGCCCGGGCCTTAGGCCCCACCTGGGCACCTGCCTCCTCTCTCGGATGCCCGTGGAGCACAGCTGGGGTCAGGAGGGCGCCCCTGCTGCCCACCCAGTGGTCGGAGAGACCCCCTTACCTGACCTCTAACCTCTCCCCTCTCGCGTATGACCTTGAGGAACTTCTACAGGTCCCAGGACACTTGAGACCTTGTAGTCCTCAGTAGAAATTGTGCTTTGGAGGCTCAGTTCTCAGCCATCTGTGGTCAGGGGTGCGTGCAGGTAATGGAAGCTCTCTTGTTCTTTACTACGGTGGGTGCTCTATGGCGTTGAGAACTAATTTACAGGGTTTAGCACACACGTTCACATCGTTTTCCAGTGTTTTCAGGCAAGCAAGTGACTGCACAGGGCAAGATTAAGGTGGAGCAATAGCTAAAGAAATACACTTTAAGTTTTTTGAAATGTCACATGGGATAAATACTGAAGGGAAAAATGAAAAGTAGTCATCAAGGATTCCTAGGCTGCAAGGGCTTACTTTAAGGCGTCGTTTTGTACTTTCATTCATTCAGCAAGTATTTACTGAGCGCCTTCTAGCTGTCAGGCTGGGAACTAGAGGCGGAGTCATGAACAAAACTGTCAGGACCTGCCAAGGGTCTGAGATTTTACCCTACTTGCAAGCTTGTAACAAGTTAGCCTGCCCCTGCTTAAGGGATTCTGGGAGAAGACTAGAGACTCTGAGGTCAGAGACAAAGGACTTTGTTATTCACAGCACCATTTGCACGGGTTCCCCTTGCCCTGCAAGCCCCTAAGGTGATGCAGAACAGCCCAAGTGGAAGCTATGCACACAGTGAGTCTGTGTCCCAGCCAAGAAACCCCAAGCTCAGGAAACCTCAGTCTTTTAAAGGGACTGTTAGCAAACCTGCCCAACCTTTACTCTGGAAAGAGACATTATCTTTATCATAAACTCATCTGCCCTCTGCCCTGAAGGGGGACACTACTGGCTGTCCTCTCAGGATGTTTGCCCTCAAATGTCCTTGGAAAGATTGCCTGTAAAAAAATAAAAAATAAAAATCTGTCTTTGCTTTGAAGATGGGTACAAACATAAGAAACCCATGGAGCGTTGTCTCTTAGCAAAATTAACACGATCCCAGCTGTCTTGGAACAGATATTGTAGTGAAAGGGAAACAAACAGCAAACAACACATCACTAAATAAAGGAACAAGAAAATGGCAGAGAACGGTAAGTCCAAGGAAGGAACCACAGCCATGACATATGCAAGCTAGACAGTGAAGTGACTGGAAGATGCCTTTAGGCACGATGGTCAGGTGCTTACCACAAGGGGACGCCTGAGCAGAGAGAAGCCACCAGCCGTGGGAACATCTGGGAGAAGAGCTAAAAAACAAATTAGCAAATCATTCGAGTTTGGGAATTTACTCTGGTGGCATTTCCTGTGGTTTCCCCACAGAAGAGACATTTCTCGCAAGTTCATTTTAGATTAATTAGGCTTGAATGTGGTGCTTGATGATGTTGTCCTCTGCAGTTGAAGATTAATAACTCAGGCAATTTAATGGCAACAGGGCATGGTTCTTTCGGAAAAGGAAATGTCTTTTCCCCTCTATTAGTGACAGTGAACTTAACAATAAAATTTATTTCTCATGATATGAAAGTGTCAATATTTGTGGGAGTGGAGGGGCTTCCCATAGACTTTAGAGTTTACAAACAAACTGTCTGGCTTATTCTATTTCTCATACCCTCAGGTAGGGTCCTTTCTTCCTTTCAGAGGAGAGAATCCTTGGTTCAAGGACTTTTTGTTATTGCATGTCCCAAGTGTAAGCAAACAGTGCAACCCCTTCCCCCACCCACCCCTGCCTCACTCAGCAGCAGTAGAGATGGGAAAAGTTGAGCTGTCTGAGGATTGTACACTAGCTAGTGACATACAAAGGCTCAGAGTCCCCTCCCTGCCATTACTGCTGGGTGACCTTCACCCCTCTGAGTCTCAGTTTCTTCATCTGTAAAGTAGGGACAATAATGATACTTGCCTTACAACAAGGTTGTTCTGACAATGAAAAGAGTCATCATGTATTCAAGGATAAGTGCCTGGCACTTATTAGGGACTCAGTTGATGATGATGATAGAGATAATGATGAGAGGCAGAACCGACCCCGAGAGTCTATACTGTCACACTGTCACAACTAGATGATTTTTGCTTTTATCCATAGTTCAATACCTGTGCATTTCAGTGGCTTTTCAGCTGAAAGGATAAGGATTGTTGTTCTTTGAGATGGCATTGGGAGGGAGGCTGTCACACCGTGTACTTGCACATCTCAAATTAGAATTAGAATTCAAGCATCAAGATGAATTATTGTCAACATTTTAGAATTTTCTGAAGTCACTGAAGTGTTGGTTTTGAAAAATATGTATAGAACTCTTTTTGAAATGCATCAAAATATAAAATGGATTGGTGAATGGATAGATGGATAGGTATGTGAGAAAGCAAATGTAGCAAAATGGCAATTGTAGAATCTATGTGGTGGGTATATGGGCGTTCACCACCCACTTCTTTAAACTTTCCTGTATGTTTGACATTTTCATAGTAAAAGGTTGGGGGAATATGTGCAGGGTCCTGATTACATTACCAAGCTATAATCTTGGTACTTTGTGTTTAGAAATCATCCTTTTTTTTCTAACTAAACATATAAAGAACTGCAGTGATTTAAAAAGCAAGTGTCATCTAGTGCCTGCTTCTTCAACGCCTGCCTCTTTAGAAAGCTCTAAAGAAGCTTAGGGTTCCTTGGATTACAGTTTGAGAAGCCAAGGTTAACAACAGTAATAGAAGTTGTGTAAATGAGTGTTCAGTGTGTGTCGGGCACCATTCTAGATCCTTCACATGCATCATTATATTTAATTCTCACAAAACCCATTTTATGGAAGAGGAAACTGAGGCACAGAGAATAAGTAACTCATCCAAGGTCACAGAGCCAGTAAGCGGTGGGTTAGGAATATTGAAATTGAACACTTGATATGTCAGGTAACTAACCTCAAACTAAGCTGAATGGAAGGTGGAGAGCAATTATCAGTGGGATTCAGATTTGCTGTTGGCTGTTTTAGCTTTTGTTTGTTTGTGCCCTGAGTTATTTAAGAAATGTCCTCTGTTTGATTATCAGAACCCAGCTCTTCTATGCTAGATATCACTGTTAGAACAGATAGTCTCAAAACATGCAGAATTGCCATTGTGATCATTAAGTCATCCATGCACTCCTACCTCCGCTGATTTCTCCCTTTAGACATGACTCTCTGGTGTATTTCATTCATTCTAAGTGTGATGTTGCTGAATACTTAGAGGACTGTACTTTTCTAACAAAATTCTTTCTGAAAACCTTATGTAGGGAAAACAGAGAGAATGAAAGCCTATCTAAAGAGCGCAGATGGCTTTTTTGTCCTAAATAAAAGCACTACAATTGGGAGGCATGAAGATTCTGACCTTGTTTTACAGGTAAGAGCTCTTCCCCCCTGTTCCCCACCTGTCTCCAGCCCCCACCCCCCAGCAGTCCTTGGTGTTATGTGGCCTCCACTCTCTCTGCAAACACAACAGCCACATCTCTCCTGCATGTGCTACCCATAACCAGTTGCTCAGTGTGCCGTGTTTCCCTGGTGTAAGTAGTGAAGCTGAGCACAGTGCAGAATGTGCTGTGCCCTCTGTCCCTTGCAGAACACATCTGATGGGGTGGTTTGGGAGGTGGGCACAGGGCCGGTGCTTGGACCTGCACCTACTCTGGGCTAGGCCACTCTCGCTTCCAAAGCCCCTTGGGACGGTTGTGGCCCCCCTGGAGCCCCAGGAGCCCACAGAGCTCCAAGCAGTAAATCAGGCTGTGCCCTGGGCTTAGCCTCTGCCTTCTTTCATCTCATTTCATTCTCTGAATTAGCTGTGGTTGGGTCCAAAGCCTCAGCTCAGTGACAGCCAAGGAAGTTGGAAGAAAGAAGAAAGAATAGTAACAGTGGCTTTGGGCCTTTTTATATTTTAAAGGGGGTTAAAATATTGAAATGGAAAGAGAAATGCAGTGGAATTTCTTTATCACTGTGCAAAGCATGTTTCTTTCAGACAATAGACTTCTTAAACTCTTTATTTGGAAATTATTCCCTTCACCCAGTTTCCCCCAATGGTTACGTATTATGTGACTATAACAATATTGAAACCAGGAAATTTTGACATTGGTACAGTATGTGTAATTCTGTGTCATTTTAGCACATATGCAGATTCATGCTGAGCAATTGATATACAGAACTATTCCATCATCAAAGATCCCCCCTGAGATACCCGTTTATAGCCATACTACCTCTTCCACCTACATCTTTCACCCCTGGCAAGCACTAATCTGTTCTCTGTCTCTGTAATTGTGTCATTTTAAGAATGTTATATAAATGAAATTATACAATGTGTGACTTTTCTTTTTTGAGACAAGTTCTTGCTCTTTTGCCCAACCTACAGTGCAGTGGTATCGTCATAGCTCACTGCAACCTCAAACTCCTGGGCTCAAGCGACCCTCTTGCCCCAACCTCCCAAATAGCTCGGACTATAGGCGTGCACCACCACGCCTGGCTAATTTTTCTGTTTTTTGTAGAGACAGAGTCTCACTATGTTGTTTAAGCCGGTCTTGAACTCCTGGACTCAAGCAATCCTCCTACCTTGGCCTCCCAAAGTGCTGGGATTACAGGAGTGAGCCACTGTGCTCGGCAGAGTGACTTTTTTTAAGACTGAGGTTTTTGTTCTGTTTGGTGTCATGTCTATGAACAGTTCACCAAGTTCTTGATCCTGAAGATTTTCTTCTAAAAGTTTTATAGTTTTACGTTTTATATTTAAATCTATGAACGATTTGGAGTTAATTTTTGTATATAATGTGAGGTTTAGGCCAAGGTTCATTTTTTTTGGCTATGGATAGCCAGTTGCTGCAGCACCATTCCTGGAAAAGCTTGTCCTTTCTCCATTGAATTGCTTTTGCATTTTTGTCAAAAATCATTGGGCTACACTTGTGTGGGGGCTAGTTTTGAGTTCTCTGTTATATTCCAGTGATCTATGCGTCTCTCCCTCCTCCAGTATGATGCGATCTTGACTGTTATAGCTATATATGTCTTAAATCAGATAAAGTGATGCCTCCCATTTTATCATTCTTTTTCAAAGTTGTCTCATCTATTCGAGTTCCTTTGCCTTTCCATGTAAGTTTTAGAATAAATCTGTCTTTATCTACAAAATGTCTTGCTGGGATTTTGATAGAAAGTGTATTTAAACCCAATACCAATATGGGAAGAATTGATATTTTATTGTGCTATGTTCCAATCTGTGAATATGGCGTGTTTCTCCACTGCTCTAGGGTCTTCTTTGATTTCCTTCATGAGTGTTTTTGTAGCTTTAAGCATACAACTCCTACACATGTTTTGTTAGATTTACACTCAAGTGTTTCTCTTTTTTTTGTTAGCTATGGTAAATAGTAGTATACTTTTAGGTTCAGTATATACCTGTTCATTGCCAGTATACAGAAATACAATTGATTTTTTTTAATTTTTATTTTTATTTGCTTATCAAAGTAATGGATACTCAAATACAATTGATTTTTTTGTATGCTTAGGCGCTATCTTGCAACTGTAACTGAATTTTCTAGAAGGTTTTCTGTAGATTTCTTGTGATGTTATATGTAAATAACCATGTCATCTGCAAATAAGACCAGTTTTATTTTTCCCTTTTTGACCTGTATGCCTTTAATTTCCTTTTCTTGCAATATTGTCTTGGCTAGGACTTCCAGTTGTCTGTTGAATAAGAGTGGTGGGTGCAGTATAAATCTTCATTATTTGCTTTGTTTCTGATTTCAGGAGGGAGCATTCAGTCTTTCACCGTTAAATATGATGTTAACTATGAGGTTTTTGTAGATGTTCTTTATTGACGTAAGAAAGTTCCCCCTCTATTTGTAGTTTTCTGAGGGTGTTTGTCCTAAACTCTACAGATTTAAGAATAACCGAACGTACCTCCACTTGAGACGCTCATCCACAATGTAGTCTCCCTACAAGGACAAAAACCACAAACCGTTCAGTGCACAAAGTGGGAAAAACACAGAAAAAGAATTGCAATTTCTTCTGTATCACAATAAGAGACAGACTTTAGGTTGTTTTACTTCCTGTATGGCCAAGGCAGAGACAAGGATCTCTGTTTGAAACTGATTAAGATATTAAAAAGCCATCGTAGTTTTTAAAAGCACAGGCTTTAGAGATAGACAGACCTGGATTTGAATCTCTTTAGGCCATTTTCTGGCTGTGTGACTTCAAGAAAATTGCTTAATCACTCTGAGCTCATTTTCCCTGTCTGCGAACCCCTAACCTCCCCATGGTGGTTGTGGGGATGAAATGAGAAAAGTGCTGGCACAAGGTGCTAAGTATAGGACACCACGGTCATACTATGGTCTTGTGCAATGGTGACTGAGAACTCTCAGGGGTACGCAGGGCTGAGATGGGTACCCACCGACATTAATAGACTGCTTGGAAAAGGGAACTGAAGAGGGAAATTATTATATAGTCGTAAGTTGAGTCACATTTATTGTATAAAAATAATTGACTGCTTACTGCTCCTTGGCCTTAGTTTAAAAAGTAAGTCACCACCATCAGCAACAGTCACATTGATTTATGAAGGAATCAGCTGCATTTCCAGGAGCATGAGCTTGTGCTGGCTCCCTAGAGAACAGATGAAACGTGAATTGCCAAATGCCTCGTGAATAGACTTTTAATGGGTTTTTATATCTTCTCTTCGACAAACCCTCCTCCCAAAGCTTAAATCGATTTGGGAGAGGAGATCTGCTTTAAGAAGGGATATGGGGACACCGGTCTGTTGTGTAGAAATGAAACCTACAGGCATGTCAGTGCTTTTTAGTTTTGTAAGATATGACGAGATGGAAAGTGCCCCTCTGCCGCCTTGGTTGGGCTCTCTGATTGCCCAAAGAATCGTGCTTGATCAGCTGCAGGCCACACTGAGTAATAATTCAACAATCAATGTATCATTCGTGTTATTTGTTACACTACAAGTTATTCCACTAAATAAAGCTTGGGAATCTAAAAAAAAAAAAAAAAAATCAGCCTTGAAATGACCCAGCTCTCACACTTAGCAAATAAAAAAGGATTGTTTGTTTACCTGGATAAATCCTAAAGAACAGGTAGCCTTGCTGCTAAAGGTTTATACTCATTTGCAAGGCTGACATATTATTTTGATTGTTGATGTTATATTTTGAAACCATTTACCTTTTCTGATAATGGAAGGTAGTTGCATGCTTACTGTTTTTTGAAAACTGGGAGAAAGCAGCATATAGGGAAGAAAATAAGAGTCACTTTGTAATCATATGACTCAGGGCACAGTCAATATTGATATTTGCAGGGTTTTGCCCTCCGGACTTTTTTCTGCATCCTGTAAGGAGTTTGGTTCCTTGATGGCAATAGGAAGCCTTTATTTTGAAGTTATACCCTTCACCTAGTTTCCCCCACTGGTTAGAAACCCGTTTTCGCTGTTGTTATCACTCATTCATTCTGCAAATATTTACCTGGAGCCCCAGCATAAGAGGCAAGCTTGGGAATACAGCGATGGCTGGAATCACACATGGCCCCTGCAATCAGGAAGCTTCAAGGAGAGAGAGACATGGGCCGAAGGATCCCGCAGAAGTGGAATAGTTACATGCCAACATTGCGGTACTAAAGGAACAGCATGTGCAAAGGCCCTGGGGTAGAGGAGCTTCTAGTGAGCCTGATAAACTGAAAGAAAACCAGTGTGTGCAAAAGTCACAGTGGGAAAGGGGAGAGCTAAGAGGCAGGCAGGACTGCTTCCTGCCACCATAAGGACTTCAGTCTTTATCTGAAGAGTGACGGGAAGAAGGCACTGCAGGATTTCCAGCAAGCGGGAGCCTGCACTTTGAAATGGCCACTCTGGCCTCCTGCAGACTGGAAGTCAGGAGTGCCTTTTAGACTCTCCCCGTGCCCAGCCGCTGGCTGCGCTCATTTCAGAGCTAGGCCGTGTGGATTCGGATCCCTATGGTGTGACGTGGCTTGTGAACCATCATTTTCATAGTTGGATGTGGCCGTTATTTAAATGCTGATAAGAAGGGGGCTCAATTCATCAAAAATGAAGACACGTTGCAAGCCAGTGGTGGTTAGATGTTTCAGGGGCATTAGTGTGCTCGTTAAACAGGAAGGCCTAGCTGTTCTGGCGCGGCGGGTCTGGGTGGGCCCAGGATCTGCCCGTTTCTCTGCTCCCCAGGTTCAGGCTCCGCGTGGGGGAGTCCCCACGGAGATGCTCCGGTGCCACACTTTGAGAGCCCTGCCCGCATGCCCTCCCTCCCTGCTCCGTCTCCAGGGCACCTTCCCTTCCAATGTAGAGGGAGCCCCTCCTACTTGTTTTTGTTTTTATTTTTGTTTTCCTCTTTGTCTACTATATCCATAAACTTTGTTTGAGGAAAAGAAGCAAAGGTT